TTTGCCCTTCCTCGCAAGCCGGTTCCTTCAAGACACGGCTAACTCCTTCAGCAATGATGTCGATATTATCAAAGCTTCCGTTGTATTTCAACTTGGCCTGAACGGATTGAACCGCATTGAAGGCATCTGAGAGATTTGGCTTACGCCCTGCTTTATTCTCTTCAATCCCTCTCACATTCATTTTTCGAATGTTACTAATAGTCCCTACTGAGCATCCGTATTTGGTACTCAAAGAACGGTGGGATGCTCCTTTTTGAAGCTCATCCGTAATTACATTCCGAATATTTTCGGCTTCACTGTAAGATCATTACAATTTAAATATTGTATTACATTCAAATTTCGTATTGTCAACAAAAATTAAAAATGCTTCTTACTGATTTAGATGCTGCAGGAATTTTTAATTGTTACCAGTGTTGAATTGTTAACTGTTGATTGAAACTCATTCGATCAAGTGGCTTTGTGAGACTTATAAAAAGGAATGAATGTGTTATGTTTACAATGCAGGTAGGAAAGAGTTTGAGGATTACAATAAAAGAGCAAACAAAGTTTTCTGACAAGTAATAAATACGTATTGACCAACAACATTTCGGTTTAGGATGAATTTTTGATAGCACTGCAAACATTTGATCAATTGCGTGAGTCACAGTATTTGGGCTTAAATCCGCACATGTACGTACATACATACATACAAGTCAACATGCCGAGTTGACCCTATGGGCTTCTTTTTCCCCTGGCAATTCCAGCTTTTGCAGTTTACAGTAAATAAGTCATAGTTATGAAATTCATAGTTATAAGAATATTTATATAATTAACTTTGTATTTAGTTATTTATTTACTTCTCATCTACACTTTTTATATGCATTTATTTAATTCTATGCATAGACTTCATCCCTTTGCATGTGGTTTTTTTTAACATAATTTTTTTCTCACAAATTATTATGGAATTTCTCATACCTCTTGTATATAAAAACGATTAGTTCTAAATAGTAGGAAGCCACTATTCCTATTGTAATACCCTCACGGTCATTCATTGACCACCATTTTCGTTAGAGCAAACAAACTAACTTAAATTACTGAGAGCCAATCTTCTAAATTAATCCATATAATTAAGTCCGTTTATGACAAAAGCATCTCATCAGTGCGGGTGAATCACGCGTTTCAGACTGGTTTCACGTGGAATCAGGCGTAAGGCAGGGGTGTATTCTTACCCCCCTTCTCTTTATCTATTTTTATTGATGATTTATCTACCTATTGGAATGCAGGGATCAAGGTTAGTAGCTCGTATATAAAATCCCTCATAGTCGCAGACTTTGTGGTCTTGCTTGCGGATCACGCTTCTTCTATGCAACAAAATTCAGTGTGTCAGTATGTTCAGTATGTAAATGTAAGTAAATAGCCTTGCGAATACCTATGTAACTTCATGATGATCTGGTCTCTTTATCTTCCCTCTCTCGTACGGATGTCAAGTTTGCGGTTTTGAACCTTATGATCAGTTGGAAAAATCGTTAAGGTACTTCATCAAGCAGTTGTTTGCCTTGCCTTCTTGTACTCCAAATTACGTGCTATATATAGAAACCCGTGTTGACCCCTTATTTCTGCAAACGGTAAAGCTTCAAGCTGGTCACCGCTACACGAAAATTACAGCACAGGAGATAATAAATAAAAATATTTTCTAGTATAAGCACTGGAGTTCCTTGTCAGCTAGATATCATCCTTCTTTCCAATTCTCTCGAGACATTTCTGAATGGATGGCGGAATTTCCGTGCATTCTTTCAAATATAAGGTCTAGTGATAGCATGAGGTTTCTTTTGTACCGCTTGACCGAAATCTCGATGTGTTATACTTGACGAATGAGAAACTTGGAAGAACACTAAAACTGAGGGATCCCCGCTGGCTCCAGAGGGATACAAAAATGTGCTCCCTGTGCAATACAAGGGAAAAGGAAACATCATGCACTTTATGGCTAAATGTACCATTTTCCGAGATGCGTGCTTCTTATTTGGGTAGTGCTGTGCTCTCGGAAGAAAGCCTAGTCAAACTTTCAAATGAGCCAAGCCGGCAGCTAATAATAAAATTCTCTCGTCACGCCGGTTTTACCGCTTGTTTTATTACAAGAAATGCTTACTTAATTAATGGTATACAAATATATCTTGTTCTGTGTTCACTAGATTATTTTTTTATTTATTTTTTTATATCTTCAGCTTATCTTCGTTGGTTTTTGTCAATTAAGACACGTTTCTCCATATTCAATGTTTGGGTGTGGTAGCAGTGTATATTATGTTTATAAATTTCTGTACTAAGTCAGGTAACTACCAAACAATAGGTTTATCATCCTGCAAACCATAGGAGGAATTTCATTACTTGAATGTTAAACAGTGAGCTGTTTATCGAGTTGTCATGAATTTTCAAGTCCAAGAACAATCTTGAAAACTTGGCAAATAACCAAAGACCAAAATATAAATAAATTAAAGAAGCGGACATCCGTCATCCTCCTATAATTACAAAAACAGAACAAACTACATACATACAAACCAATCTCATAGTATATAAATTTTAGTTTATTAATTGTTTGATTATATTTTGTCCTTTGTGAAATGCTTAGATAATCTATTGTAAAAATTATGGATTAGAATCGGGTCTTTTTTTTTCTTGTGCTACAGACATGGTGAATGCCTCCAGTGACCTCGTTATTTGCTTCGTTTAATTTCTCTTCCGCGTTTCATTTCGTTTCGAAAAATAAAACAAAATGTCGTGTGGGGGGGTTAGTAAAAAGAAAACAAATTTAAGCTCTTTTATAATCAAAATGTATTTTAATCTACTTGTACTTTTTAATGAAATTGACTACAACCGTGGAATTTATCAATGGAATATTTAATTTTGTCCCCGTTGTATGAGTTGTTCTGGTCGAACAAAGCCATCTCATGTTTCATTACCGGCTGTACTTCCGCCGGAAAAAGCACAAAGAAAAAATTATACACCGATCCTTGCCCAACACGAGTCATTAGCCGACTTTCGATTTCAACGGTTGACGAAAATTTTCAATTTACAAAATTCTACCTAAAAATTTTTTCTTATTGAAGAAAACTCTTGCAAAACCTAGACGTGCTCTAGGAGTTGAGATTTCATGTTATTTATTATATGGTCAACCTGAGCAACCGCGATTTTCAATTTTTCTTGTACAATTGGAAAAGCGTCAAAAAGTCCAACGAAACTTAATTTTGGCTACTCAAAATCAAAATGTCATTAGTCAATGTCCGGTTGCTAGAAAATTTGAATGAAAATAAAGATGGAATCAACAAAATGGTTCAAAAGATTCAAGATACATTTGTTTTCAGGGTTCTTTGAAGCTTCAAAAACTACAAAATTTGAAAATAAATACATTTTTTACTAATTTCAGATATGAACTACGAAGCAAAAAACGTGCCCACCCTTAATATATTTAATTATCTCTTAGACAATCCTCCATTGATTATCTTACAACAATATTTGATCCGTTTTAAAGGATTAGAGGCAAATAAAACACAGATAAATTATCCCACTTGTGTTTACAATTGGGTTTTGTAAATAAATCTTTGAATAGTCAATCTCTTCTTGATTTTTCTGTAAAGCTTCTTTCTGACGTTTGGTTGGTTTGATGTTTTTTTAAGTTGTACCATTTTTAAGTTACAAATTTTTTTGAGAGATGGTTTTATGTGATTCCGATTCAGCTAGAATCTTAGAATTGTTGGCAGATGGAAGAAGTCAAATGTAGTGGCCAGGGTGCTTAACATTTCCAGAACTGTTCGAAGGTTCTTCCATCCTAACAAAATACTGGAGGTTTACTCGAGAAAGCATAGATCAGGTCGATCATGTCATCTCAGAGAGATGATCGTCTTATTGTTTAAATATAATCCGCAATCGACATTCTACCATTATTGAGATCAAGCAACTTCAACAAGTTATAAATGTTAATGTCTCTTTACACACTGTCCAGAACTTCTGACAAGGCACAGAACAGCTCGGTTAAGGTTTGCAAGAAATCACATCAGTTGGTCTGAGAAAGATTGGTTTAAAATTTTGTTTTTAGATGAGTTTTGTTTGAGGTCTTCTGATGGCCGAGAGAGGATTTGGAGAAGAACAGGAGAGCAATTATATCCCCGCAACATTGTTACTCTGGAAAAGCTATGGAGGTGGTGGTGTTATGGTTTGGGCAGCATTTCTATGGAAGGATGCACAAACTTGATTTTCACAGCAGGTGTCCTAACACTGCGTGATACATTGACAATGTGTTGTCAGAAGTTGTACTAATTGGAAACAGTTTTAGTTTTTTTATGCAATGCACTGCCCCACACAGCTAGGATCGTTTGTGACTACTTGGAACGGGCTTCAATTCAATGTTTGTAGTAGTCCTGACTTAAACCCTATCGAACCACCTTTGGTACAAGTTTTTGAAAGAGGTTAAAAAGTTCCCCAGTGGTGCTAGCAAATTCACAGGAATTAGAATGACGCTGTTGGAGGAGCATGAAAATATTCCACAACACTACATTCAATACCTCATAAAATCGATGCCATGTCAAAGACAAGTGGTGATCCACATATGAGGAGGAAATACTCTGGACTGAATAAAATTGTTTTACTCTGTTAAATTTTTTATTTAGCTAATTTTTTTTTTTTTTAAACCTTTTGGTATACATAGTGTACATATAACTTGCCTCTACCATTTTAATCTTAGCAAGATGATCACTAATGGTTGTGAACATTAATGACTTTATGTTTAGATCTGTAGATTATTTGTTAGTTTTATATAAATTAATTCAATATGGACACATTTTTTTCTTTCATAAGATCACGATTGGTAATTGTAATTAAGAAAACCAATTAAAATGAAAAGGAAAAATCCATGGGGCAGAAATTTAATGGATTCTTGAATATATTCAAACTTTTGATGAGATAACATAAATGCGATTGTTATGCTTGTACAAGTGTTATTTTCACTTTACTAATTGTAGTAATTATTGCAGGTTGCGATGACTTGAGTATTTGCTCAGAGCCAGTCAGCAGCAAGGGGACAGATGAAGAAGTCGATAGGCTACTTAGTCAAAGGGCATCTCTTGGTGTAAGTATTTCAATAAATAAATATATACATATATATTTTTTATTACCGTCATAAGTAATAATCTGATAAACAAAATTTCAGGCCCGAAGTGATTCTCTTGCTAGTGTATACTCCGGTGCGGGTGAAGGAAGGCACGGTGGTGTAGCTGTACGAGGAGAAGTTCAGTTTGCTCTGCAGTACAACTACAAACAGTCTTGCCTTGAAATACATGTTAAACAATGTAAGGACCTAGCACCAGTCGATGTCAAGAGAAATCGTTCTGACCCGTGAGTAAAACCAGAAATGATGCTTCATTGCATATTATGAATAAATTGTATTAATTATAATATTCTTACAGGTACGTTAAGGTCTACTTGCTTCCAGACAAGTCTAAATCTGGTAAACGAAAAACCCGTGTTAAAAAACACACCCTTAACCCCATATTCGATGAAGTCCTTAGGGTAATATTAAAATTTCTTACTTTTTTTAATTTGCTTTTCTGTTATTAAACAAAATTATTTGGTTTTATAGTTCCAGATAAGTTTAGATGAATTAGAACATAGAACATTATGGCTTTCTGTTTGGCATTCAGACATGTTTGGCAGAAATGACTTCTTAGGGGAAGTTCTAATGTTATTGGAGAAAAAAGTCTTCGACAACCCACATCCTGACACATACCAGTTACAAGAAAGAGTAAGCATTGTTTAAAAATATTAAACTCCAAATTATATAAGTCCCGAAACAAGTAGAAGACATTTGAATATAATATTAATAGCCAATAATATTAATATTTTAGCATTCACAAGGTAGACCATGGCACTTATTGAGGAGGCGCTTTTGTCGTTTAGTAAGTCCAAACCCCCTAGTCACCATGATCAGTTGTTAATAATATAAAATTTCCCTTATAATAATGAATGGGTGAAGAATATACAAATTGGCTTAACAAATTAAACATAAAATAATAATGAATTATATTTATTTGACAGCAATTTGTCATAAAAAAATATAATTTATATTACTGTTCATATTACTCAACTTTCCAATTTAATTTTTGGTCTATATATACTCCTTGTAATAATTGTTAAAAATAAAAATATAAACTTAATATATTATCAATTTGCAATTTTACTTTCAGTCTGAACCTTTGGAGGAACTTAATTCCAAAGGAGAGCTGATCGTTGGTTTGAAGTATGAAACCCCTGACAGCAATAATTCTTCTAAAAAGAAGCCTTCAAAGGGATGCCTTTATGTTCTTGTCAAAGAAGCCAAAAACCTGCCACCAGTCAAAACGAATGGTTCCTCTGATCCATTTTGTAAAAGGTAAGCATATATTTGTTTTATTTTATTACTTATTAAACCTATAGTTTTATTATTTTGTATCACCCTTTTGCCAAGTAAGAGTATGTACGATTAAGATGTTCAGTGATTATCAAACTGTATATTTACCATAACATAATGTCTTGCAATTTCAAGAAAAGTTGGGGCAAATTGCATTTTGTTGATGTCACTGCTGAAAATGTATTTGTTACGGATTTACTTTTGACATAAGCCAGTTTATGAACTTACAATTCAAAGAACTCTCTGTTTACATTTTTTTTATTCTTGCTTTTTCTGCCTCTTTTTTAATATTTTTAAATTGTCTAAACATATACAACCCTGCATTTGGCGAATATTGGTTTGTTTGGAAAGTAATGCAGGTTTTCATGTTATCTTTCAGTTACCCCTCTTTGCAATAAACTGTTTATGTTTGATTGATTATTCGTTTGTATGAAAGTCAACACTTTTTAATTCTCTTCTAAACAAAAATGTTTGTTACCTCATTAGCATTTTGTTACTTGGGAATAATTCAGTCTTTACTAAGATGTCAATGCGTGATTTTTGCGTAATTTTGTTTTACCAGTTTCATCTCGTTCTGAATGGTGCCCAAATGACCAGAAACATTAATGAAGTCTTGGGTGATGGCATTGTGAATGAGATAGACATTAGCCTTGAGGACCAAAAGTTCATGGAAGTATTTCTTCCCTTGATGATGATGTTCTGCGAGCTTTGGTCGAAGAAAATTTGAGAACAAGTGTTCCGAGAATTTGTAGGAAATCTTTCAGTTAGCAAATTGATCGTCGCTGACCCTCCAGGCTCCAAGCCTATTGGAAAGGTAAAAGTGCTAGAAATTTTTCATGGATTAAACACCTGCCAAAAAATTCCTTGTTATAAAGTTTGCACAAGACAAGGTACAGATATGAACCTTTTCTGGATAGAATTGTTACTCTTGATGAAAAGTGGTTTCTCTAGGGCAGGGGTGCTCAAACTTGAACTGCTGGCGATCTACCTCAATATTTTTAGACTACTTACGATCGACTCTGAGAGGCTGCAAGTGTGTGTGATACAGGGTTGTCGTACATACACGATACACCCTACCTACGTAGGTAGGGTGTACCGTAGCAAATATAGATATTAGCTTTCTGCACAATATAGGTACATTATTTTAGTCAAGGTTTGGGTTAGGTTTAGTTAGGTNTTTCCACTATTTAATAATAAACTTTGTATCGACGTAGTATCGCCATCAAGTTACAATTCAGAATGACTCCAATTCCTGCAGGCACAACATTTATATCGGCGTGAACGAAAGTCTCGAATGTTCCCGTCAAACGCGCCGCCCGAAACTAGACTGTACTGTCTCTCGTTGTTTCTAGACTAGACTGTACTGTCTACTAGTCTAGAAACAACGCGGCTTTTCTTTGACAAGTGCCGCGCGTTCCTTTGATAAAGCCACCTTTTGCCGCAAGCAGTGTTATTTTATTACGTAATACATTTTTGTAGTTTAGTTACCTACCTACTTATTAAAAATTTTTTTCTTCTCGAGATCTACTCAAAAAGCACTCGCGATCGACTGGTCGATCGCGATCGACCGTTTGAGCACCCCTGCTCTAGGGTAACAGCAGACGTTCGGGGCAGTGGGCTGACAAAGTAGAAGCAGCACCAATTTTCCAAAGCCCCCAACTTATCAAAAACAGGTCTGGTGACTTTGGTGGGCTGATTTACTACAGGTTCTTGAATTCTTGCAAAACAATCAATGCTGAAATGTATTGCTCTCATATTGAAGCGATGCACCAGAATTTAGTGTTATTGAAGCCATCTTTGGTCAGTTGGAAAAGGCCGATTCTGTTACACAAGCTTGACCCCATGTCTCACAAGTGACAAAACAAAAAATGTTGAATCGTGGTTATAAAGGTTCTGCCTCATTCTCCCTATTCTCCAGGCTTCTCATTTACCGAATACCATTTTTTTTTTTTTTTTTTCAGGCATCTGGATGTTTTACATCATAAACACTTTATTGATCAAAAGTTGTTAGAAAATGCATTACAGAATTTATTAATAAAAAAGACTCAAAATTATATTCAGAGGATGTATAGAAGTTGCCAACACATTGGAAGAAGTATTTTAATTAATAAAAATCATTTAGAATCATTAATTGTTTTTATTTTATAACCGTAAACCTGCATTATTTTCCAGAAAACCTAATAATAATGTGTGATTTATAGACATTTTTTAATATTAAAGTAATTTATAGACTTAAAAGTAGAATTTCAGTTCATTTGATCAAATAATTCTCAAAACAATGTAATAATTTATTTTGTCAAAATAAAAATCGTAGTTTTTACCAACCCAGTTTAAGAAAAAAAACATGAATTATTTTAAATATTATAATGTTTGTTTGCAGCTATCTGTTACCAGATAAAGGACGAGGATCAAAACAGAAGGCACCCGTTATGCGTAAGACTTGCAATCCTGTCTGGAACCACACGTTTGTCTACAACAATGTCTCATTGGATGAGCTCGCCGATAGGAGCCTTGAACTGACAATCTGGGATCATGACAGGCTAGCCAGCAATGAGTTCCTCGGCGGGGTCCGACTCAATGGAGGCACTGGTATGTTTTAATTGAAATTTCAATTTTATTAGTTTTCACTTTATTTTCTCAACCTTGTTCTTTCCAGGTACCCATAATGAGAAAAATGTTGACTGGATGGACTCCAGCGGCAACGAGATCTCCCTTTGGCAGAGAATGTTAGAAAAGCCAAATTTCTGGGTTGAAAGCTGTCTTCCCCTCCGTCCTTCCCTTGACCTTAGGTCTAATGTTTAATTGTGATACCTTTTTTTTAAATAATTATAATTTTGAAACTTGACCCCCTCATACAAAAAAATTTACACAAAAGTATCTGTTTCACATAAGTTTAGTTCCTATTCTATACCCTTCATTAAATTTTTACCCTGCATTACAAATTTTTTAACAATAGTTGCAAATTGATTAAGTTTCAAGTTTTCTTTTCCAACTTTCTGCTTTATTTCCTTTCCTTAAATTAATCCTGTTTTTCCTTAAATTGTCATGTTTTTACTTTGCGTATGTACATATTTACAGAAGACAATTTTTTGCACCAAATATAATTGCTTCTTGTGAGGTCTTGTATGTAAAATTGAAAGAAAATTTTTTTGTAAATAGTTAAAAAAACTTATTAAAAAAATGGTACACAATAAGTTTACTTAAATACTGCCAAAATGGGTACAGTTTGAAACTGTTGGCTGATTATTAATTATTAAGATTCTAAAACAAAAAATAATGTATTTATGTAAAATTAGATTTTATATATTTATAAAAAGAAACAAATACTTTTTTCTTGTAATGAAAAAAGACAATTTTGTTTTACATGAAATAACTCAAATAAAAGTATGGAAGGAAAAAATCAATATTATTTGTGTCCTTATAAATAATTTACGAATTTTTACACTGCATTGTTTTTAATTAAAACAATAACTCAATTTGTAATTTTATAATAAGGATTTTGTGTTAATTCTTGTCTTTTCACTGCTTATTTAATGTGATTTATTACTCAGTATTTTACATTTATAGTTAATATATACAAACGGCATTATTGATTTGTTATTTTTTTGTTTCTTAATTTAAATATTGGGGTGAGTCAATAAAAATGTCCGTTTTCACTTTCATATATTTTTTTATGTCCTTGTATGCCTTTGTTGTTTGTGTACTGCTTTAATCACTTTATTACAAGAAACAGAAGTTTTTTCAGCTGCTGAAGCCACACATTAGGCAGCCTAATTTAAAGGAGAGAACAATTTGAATACATTAACAAACAAGATTTTTTTAAAATATATGTGAATGAGACAATGGTAAGAACACCAGGGCAGTTTAATGTGTGAATTTATGTAATTTCATAATTGTTCACTTAAAAGTAACCATAGTAATAACTAACGGTTACATGTAAGAATTAGAAAAGAAAATTTTTGCATAAGGCTAGTCTAATGAGTTAAATGATGTAATAAAAAAAATGTTTATATAATAATAATAATAATTTATGATAAAAACACAAATAAAACAAATTACGTTTATTCAAACCAAGGAGGGATGTATTATTGTTTTAACGATATTTTCTTTGGAATTCAAATGTAGCTCTTTCTTCTTAACAACAATTATCAAAGTTGGGTTGGTTGTCAGATTATTTTAAAATACGGGTGTCAGTTTGTTGAATCTTGCTCATTCCGTTTGCAGTTTTGGGATAGGTAGGGATTAAATTTACATTCTTTGTTCCTTTCTTCCATTTCTTTTAGTTCTTTATACATTATGAAAATATGAATGCACTGAAAGTGTCTAACCCACCTGTCCAGAACCTCCTATTTCCTAGAAGCCTATCACACTCGTCCTAAAAAAGGGCCTCACAACATTACCCGTCTTAAAACCTCTTTTTTAACCTCTCTAATTTTTGTTTCTGAGCCGTACAAGGCTTCAGGGTGCCTGGTACAATCGGACGATGAGAATCTCCACATCACTCATCGGTCCTTTACAGGACCAACTCCCTCTTAACCAGCTCCTCAAGGGGCCCTCGCTTATGAAATGCCCTCTCGTGCTAGCCTGAAAGGGGCGCCCTTGAGCTTACGCTCCCAGTAAGGCAAAAAGATGGGTACCTCCTTCTTGAGAAGCACCCCAACAGTTACCATCAATATCCAAAACCATGACCAATGATAACTGGTCATTTAACCAATATACTTTATTTAATTTGATGTTAGGTTTTGGATGGTTACAGATTGGAGAAGCCCTGAGCATGCGTTTAATGCAAATATAGAGATGCTTCTAAGTGTTACATATTACAATAAAAACAATTGTTTCTAAAAATAGAAAATATGCGCTTCTTAAAAGGTTAGGTGAAATGTTACCATCTTTGCCAATTAACCCAGCTCGAGTAGACATTACATAAATCAACGTTTGTATTATATAATAATTGAAAAAATGATAAATTTACTATTTGCAATGCAAATAAAAAACACATACTTAGATCATCATTTTAAACTTAAAAACCTAGTACAAATAAATAACATTTTTTCAAGAAGCAAAATTTGCAGTTTTCAATGGCTTACCATCAGAGAGAAAGAGGACGAATGGCGAGAAACCTCTAATCTTACAATTATTCACAACAAAATAAAAAATGTAGACAAATGTTTTATTTTTATTTATTTATTTATTTATTTTTTGTTAAGAAATAGTCTTTAAACTAATGCAACTTTTAGAAGAAAAATAATTAAAAACAAAATTTATTTGTTAGTTTGGTTTAATTATTTTTAAATGCAGGTAAAATTTAATACTGCCTGGTTAATATGTAAAATCATAAAATCATTTTAAAAAACTTAAAGGAATTTTATTAAAAATATACACAATGTATTACAAATTTTGTTATACACAGCATATAAAAGAGATTAAGCATCTTTTAGCCGGTTGACCGATAAAAAACTTGGCCATGTGAAGAGAGCATGTAATCTCTGATGCCATTTTAAAAGAGCCCTATCAACATCGCTTTCAGAGTCTTCACTGATGGAGATTGAAAATTCAGTTTTAGATTTATGCCTTATCGCCGAGTAAGCTTCCCAAAGAGCATACATTGTATTTAAGTTAGGCGGGAGTAATGATAGTGTGCTAGTGCTCGGGTTGTTACGCTGCTGAAAAACCTTGTTCATAAAGTTTGAATCTTTGAGCAGATTAGAAATTTTTGGTCCATTTTCTCCAAGTTTATTCACTTCATCTTCAATTGTCGACAGTATGGTGTTGTCCAACTTTAAATTGGCCTGTAGAACGTTCAATAAGTGTTGCGTTTCATTAGCTATTTGATCTAAAGAGTAAATAGTATCGTTTTTTGGGTCGTTTTGTGGAAACATCTTGCTGTCGAGTTTTTCTGTGAAGAAGTTAACCAAATTGAGATCAATCTGAGAAGGGTGTTGGGCTTTTTTTGAATAAACCGACTGGACCATTTTGTCTATGTCCTGTGCTTTGATCATCTTTTTGCCTTTTTTGTTAGCAAGCCTGCTTAGAAATTGAGTGTTCTGCACTTTCCTCTTGGATTTGTAAGGTCTTTTTGCCCTTCTGATTTCTGATATGGTAAGATTCGGATCCTCGGCAAATTTCTTTCTTAGACAGTTGTATCTATGCCTGACTTGGACCCTATTTCTAGTTTTGAGCTTTTTAGCTATATCAGACCATCGAGTTTCACCCAGTTCTCCAACCAGTGCTAACAACTGATTGTCCTCCTCTTCAGTCCATTCGCCAAATTTAACATCTTTATCTGGCGTCAGTGTGTTATCAAACCTTTCTCTTATTTGTTTAATCGTTCTGTTTTTAATAACTTTTGATAAATCTTCAACTTCCAAATTGAATTTGTGTTTCAATGTTAGTAAAACGCGATCTTCTTGTAATTCAAAGTGGCCTTTTTTTATTGTCGGGTTGATACTGTGTGTCCATTTATTGAATATTTGCCCAAAGTTCCTATTTTCGAAATAATAACCGACTTTATTCCAACAAATTTTATTTCCATATGTAGAACTTAATACAACTTCCTTTAAGAGCTCCTGTTCGGAACGGGACCAAGGCCCGGCGATGTCTTTGTGCATAAACTTCATGTAGTATAAAAAACACTGAAAACTAGATCTATCAGTTTGAAGATCTGATGCAATTTTGTCCCAATTTTGAAAGGCATGTTTTTTAATGATATCACTAAGTTTTCGGATTTCTGAAATAGTCCATTTCTTTTTATTTACTGCTGGCCGAGCATACAAATACCACATTTTTTTACACTCTGTAGGGCTAAACCTACCTTTCATCAAGTCTGAAATTGTGATCCAATCGAGATTTTTTTCCATTTCCTTTGTAAAAAATGATGTCAATGGCTCTTTCTTAAAATAGTTTATTGTCAAGAGACACTCTACTTTTGATTCATGGTCAACTAGAGAAATGTCAGAGTGCTTATTGCTTACGGAAGTCAGATAAGCTTTAACAATTGACTCCCTGACACAATTTTGTAATTGTTCAACGTCCAGATTGCCCCAGGGGCAGAAAGTTTTGATCAAGTCAATTTTTACAAACTCCTTAGCGTCAGAATTTTTTGGAGCAGAAAAATAATGGCTATCTTTGAAGTACGGGGCTCTAAACTCGTTAATGAAGTTTTTAACGTAAACTGAAGGATTGTGAAAGCTAGTTTGTTCGCTTTTATTGGTCCTATTCGAATGCAATAAGTTGTTTTTCACAAGGCACAGTTGGTACTGAGTATCTAACAGTTTGTCCATCTGCTTCTTGATGATTATTAGACAGTTGTCTACTTCTTTACATGCCTGTTCAAGTTCAATGATAGATTTACTGGATTTGTCATCTTTAGGGTTGGTCCTTTTCTTCTTTGGAGGTGGTTCAACACTCTGAAGTTGATTCTCCCATGCAGCTTCGTGTCTTTCTTTTTTCAAATGCTCCTCTAAAAGAGAAATGAGTTCAATGTCAGAGTCTTGATGGAGATTGGCATCGAATGTGTCCATATCCTAAAATAACAGTAATGCAATGTTAAAAATGATTGAATAGGGGATTTTAGACCATTTTGAATTTACAGCAGTTACAATAATCAAAGTTGAAGTGGTTATTCAAAAATACAAAATATTGTGTAAAATATTGATTTTTTTATTAATTAATTTATTTAATTATACCCAGATATTCGCTGCCATGTTAAAGCACGATTCTCATATTGGGTGACATTCCTACACGCTCTCTATTTAGAGCCAAGGCGTTGTACCCTTCAATTAGGTGGGATACACCGAGCAACCTTTCTCTACATGCTGGACAAAGACAAGCTTTGGTCCAAAAGTATTTGTGTGTCATCCTCACATGGCCTATCCTTAATTGGGTGAGGATGACCCCTCTTTTACGAGTCAGTTTCTTCGAGGGCCACCCATCGACAGTGCTATTGATATGTGACAGTTTCTCTGTCGACCAGGCGCATCGACAATGCCATATTCTTTTAATCATGTTTTTATTGCATATTTAGTGTCAGAGGGTCTGAGCACAGTGGTTAAGTTCAGAGTGGGAACGTCCTGACCTTAGACACCTCGTCCACTTTTTCATTACCCTCCAGATCTATGTGTCCAGGTACCCAGACAACAACCACAAGGCCTTCGCACCAACAGAGGACTTGTTCCACTGTTTCTTCTTCTTCTTGGTAATATCTACAGGCTTGTTTCTGCCACTCCGAGTCTAAACATATGCCCCATGCATATGCATCCAGTTAGCAGTCTAACTATTACTCTAGTCCTAGCACGTCCTAGATTACTGAATTACTTAGTATTTTCTGATGTGGCGACCAAACAACTGAACAGTACTCTAAAATGGGATGGACCCTAGCTTTAAATAGTAAAATCATTGTTTCTGCATTCTTAAAGTTTTTTGTAGTGCTATGTAAGAAACCTAAAATTTTATTTGCTTTAATAAATTATTGAGGTGCAATTCAAGTTAAATGTCATGTTGTTAGAGTAGGTCTTTTAGGTAGACTACCTCTCCATTTGGATGTTTTGTAAGGCACAATTGTAGAAGACAACACTACATCTAAGACTACAACGAACAACCTTTTACATTTAGTTCCATGACGTTACATGATCACCACTCAACAAGATTATTTACAGATTTTTGCAGATGTTCAGCATCATTGAATGAAAAAATGTTACAAAATACAGTAGAGAGAAGGAAAACTAATGGTAAATTGACAATGGATCAAAAACTCCACCCAAAAATTAAATTCCTCTGTCAGCTCGTATCAATAGCTCCAAGCCTGCCTCAACCTGATCAAAGGCCTAGATCTTTAACCCTCGAAAAAACACAAAAGTTCACCCCCTGACAGAGTGAACCAGCCTAGGTGAAGCAAGCGGTTTTCACCCAAAATTGAACACTACCAAGAAATGAAAATCAGATTCGAGGGCACGCGAATTGCAAAGTGAACAGAAGCCCTGCTCACCCCCATTCCACACGGTTGAGTTCAGCTGAAGAACCTTGCAGCACATTTTAAAAAGCCAATGCAGTTCCACCAAAGAGTAATCTTTAAAATTGGTCTTTTTCAGGAACAACGTTGGAAGACCCGTTAACTCTTTGTATAATAAAAGGTGCGCCGAGCACATGACACAATCAGCATATTTACTGCAGTATTGAGAATTAATCCGAGTCGAGAGAGTCGAAAATGGGTACTCCAGTTAGTGATATTTTCCAATGACAGGGCGAAGCCAATATCGTATTTCGCGAACAGTGATTTCCAGATGTTAGCATAATAATGAAAGTAGTAGCGGTATTTGAGGCCAGTAAAAAAGGGAGAAATTAAAAAAGGAAATACAATGAGAAATATCGTTAATCATACATTGAAAAGTATTGGGCCGAATAACAACCCCTGAGGTACACCAGATGAGATATTTTTTTAAATAAATATAACTAAATTAATTAAATAACTAAATTAATAGCAATAGTAAATAATAATACTACATATATGTAATCATTATATTGATATTGTAATATGCATTAGGCCTTTTAAGAATACTATTGTAAAATAACAACTTGATGTTTGTTTTATTCTGCGTTAGTTAATTTGTTAATGCATAAATATTATAATAAAATACACTTACCATGTCTGGTGTGTTTTTGTAATGGATATTTTTATAAATCAAATAATATTTATTGTTTCATTTGATAGCAACATAACTTAGTGTAACAACTTATCTTAACCATGTTGATAAGGCATTTCGGTTAACCGCCTGTCAGGTAGGGACCCTAGAAGTTAGAACCTCCCAAGCTAAAACGCCATCTGCAAAGCGTACATTTCGTTTTTTTAAATCCGTTCTTGACTTTTTGTTTCTTCTTTCTTCGCAGTTTGTGGCTAATATTGTGCGATATTGATTAATACCAGTCTGCGTCTTTGTTTAATATTGAAAAAGAGAATTCGTACGGGATACGGTTTATCTATTTGCCCAGCGATAAGGTCCGATAATTGTTGTACTCTTCCTGGGGGAAGAATCGGTCGAACTTTTCAATTTCTGTAAACAGGGAGAATTTCCAGTAAAAAAAATGGATGGCGACAGTATAGACGCAAAGATCGCAAATGGGTCAAAAGTGGACGAACCGGACATTCTTGGATTCAGGTAATTTATGCTGTGGCACATTTGCCATGTGCCATTTAAAATCAAAGCATATGTCTAATGCTCTAGAAAGAAGCATAACAATTGTCCAATAAAAATTTCCTAAACTAAAGAGGACAAATTTTCAAGATATCCATTAAATTTTAATTAAATTATTGGATCCAATTGGGTCAGGTAATTTACACTATTGCTCGTTTTTTTACATGTTCCATTTATCAACAAAGCATGTCTAATTCTCTAGAAAGAAGCATAACAATAATGACCAATAAAAATTGCCTAAACTAAAGAGGACAAATTTTCAAGATATCCATTACATTTTGAATTTTAATTAAATTGACGATCGTTCTCTTCAGACCAATCTTGTAAAACAATATAATAAATATTTTATTAAATTAATCCAGTTTGAAAAAATGTTAAAATACAGAATCCTACAAAACTAAGGAAACAGAAAAAATTACTTGAGTATTAAATATGTAAAGTAAGAAATAGAACTAATTAAGAGAAACAAAAAGTGAAGTTAAAACATGGAATACATCTATCTGTCAAGGAGAGAAGAAACTTATTGCTGGATTGAGAATAGGGCATACTAGGTTAATGCATAATCATTTAATGTCTAAAGACCCCACCCCAATATGTTTAGTTTGTAATGTTAGGCTTTATTACACATATTTTCACCTCAGGCAAAAAATTGCTCAAACTTGAGCTAAATATAATCTTGGAGATGATTTATCCAAGATGACCAAACAAGCTATTTAACGTTTTGTATGATGCGGGATTTAACTACTAGATATGGCAGTGTAATGAACATATTGTGAGACGACTGGGTGAAGGGCCACTGGACATTGTTTGGGGGGAGTTGAGGGGTTGGTGCAGCTAGGGCGCTGATTGGACCTCTGGGCTGACCTTGAAGCACTGGTTCTGGGATAAATGCGGATGCTGGTACTCTTGCACATCCATCTAAAAGGGCTGTAATATAGAAGAAAATAAAAAATACAGAGATAGTGGTCTTGGGTGTATTTTCCATTGCTTTTGTCACTCTGCCCCCTTGACGCTGGATCCGCGGCTCAGCAGGCATCACATACCTAGTCTAAAATAATTATTCAAGATAATTTCAAGGCACCCATAATCCATTGTGGTTGACTGCCTTAATAAATTTAAAAAAAAAAGAATGCTTCATACCTAAAAATGATCGCTTTTATCATTGTTATTGTAAATTGTAAAATATTATGTAAATAATATTAGAAAACAATTACATAAAAATATGTTCATTACACAGTTCGTTCAGATTGGTTGTGTAAATAAAGCATTTGTTTTGTAATGAGAGTTTCAATCTGTTGTCATGTATTTTTAAGAGAAGTTTATTTTTTTTCTGCTTAATTTTATTCTTTTGAGTTAAGTGTGGGGGTTTCAAGTAAGTCTGTTATTGATATAAAGTCCAATGTAGCAAATGTTGGCTGCTGGAAGAGGAACAGACTGAAGATTAGAGGAAATATACAACAAGTGGGTGAAGATTATTTGTTAGTTTTGATTTCGTCAAGTCTGATGGTACATTTCTTCAACCATACTTCCAAACTGGATGGTCTCAGAGGTTTCTGCTGGGTTAGCTGAGGATGCTGCAGACATGGGAAGTATTGTAGCTAGTTGGCCTTTTGTGTCATAGGAATCCACCCTAGATGACTCAGACAGAAGGATAAAAAGAAAATGAGGGAACAATAGAACTCGCCCATTGGACACAAGCAATCCAAGAACCTCCTAACAATCTTTGGAAGGAAAGAGGCAACAGAATGCAAGAAAAAATTGCAAATCCTAACAGAATTCTTAACATGACTAAATGGACATCTGAAGAAAATTGGCATAACCAACATGGCAAGTGCTGATTTCTGCAAAAAAGCACCTACTACTGTAGTTCTACACTTGCCTGTTGGAGGAAGTGCTTTGGGACATACAATTTAACCGTAGAAGGGATTCAACCATTGAAATTGTGCCTACCAAGCAAGTCCCTTGATGAACTCACTGATGTGCTACAAGCACAGAACATGAAATATACATCTCTTAAAGGGCGTAGAAGACCCCAACTAGAACATCTACATTGTAACTAGTTCTGTTTGTTTTTATTTCTTTATCTTTACACACCGGGATTGGTAGAATGTCTGCTGTCTATATAATATAGAATGGAACAAAAAGACAAAGGGACCAAGAATGCTTCATTATGGAACACCACTTCAATATAGTGAATGGGGGAGAAGAATTTTTCGATTTTTTACTTGAAAGTATCTATCAGACAAATAGGATTTGTACGATGATGCAATATGTAAATGGAAGGTGCCTTCAAGTTTCCACAGCAAGCCCGGGTGCCATGCTCGATTGAAAGCTTGCCTCGACTCAAGCAGTGTTCCTTCCGCTCAAGAGTGCACCGTTGAATAGTAGAATGATGTTGCTTGAACCAGAATTGATGAGATGGAAAGACATTGAAGCTAAGAAAGATGTGAAATAGGTTTTCCGAGGATTTTGCTAAGTAATGGCAACAAATTGATATGAGGATGTGGCGTAGGGAGATAAGGGTTTTTTGAGGTTTGGAAATGGGCTTTATGATTGGTAAATTTCATCCAATGGCAACAACTTATGAAACAACCAACAACACGCATTTCTATTAGTTTACTAAAAATAGAACAATATAAACTTAGTAACTTGCTAATAGTTTTACTTTTAATTTTCAGACCAAAATCAAGAGATGTTCCCAAAATGGCTAGAATGTCAGTTGAAAAGGATGCATACTTCTACAAGATGACGCATAAAAAACGTGGCATTGCTGTGATATTTAACCATGAAAAATTCCTGGTAGGTAATTTGACTGATAGAACTGGTACAAATGCCGATAGCGAAGCTTTAGAAAAATGCTTTACAAAACTCGGCTTTGATGTTATGGTTTTCAAAGATCTCAGCTGTTCCGAGCTCATCTCACAGGTTGAAAAAGGTTTGTTTATGATTAACACACTTGTAAGTATATAGAGAAAAAATATTGTTTTTTATAATGTTATAGTCGCTGAAATGGACCATTCCGACAATGATTGTTTGGTAATGTGCATACTCTCTCATGGGGAGGAAAACTTTATTTTTGCTTGTGACACCCTGTACAAACATGAAGAAATCTGGGGCCCGTTTACAGCTGATAAGTGTCCTACTTTAGCTGGAAAGCCTAAAATGTTTTTTATACAGGTAATTATATATATATATATATATAAAATATTACCTTAATTAATTGTAATATATTAATTGGTCAAGCTGACCACGAAATTAGTGAATTTAATCAATAATAAGGTTATATAATAAGTTACAATTAATTAAGGTTTTTAGTTGAGTTAAAAAAGTCAATGGCACAAGCGGGATTCAAACCCACGATCTTCGGCTAGATACGCCGCTGCTCTACCACTTGAGCTATCGTGACCTCGATTCACTTGGACACGAAGCCTTATTTTCCCTCCTTTTTGCCATTTTTCAAGGGGGAATTCAAGAGGTGGGGTTGAGATGGGAAGTTAGTGACCAAGTGAATCGAGGTCACGATAGCTCAAGTGGTAGAGCAGTGGCGTATCTAGCCGAAGATCGTGGGTTCGAATCCCGCTTGTGCCATTGACTTTTTTAACTCAACTAAAAACCTTAATTAATTGTAACTTATTATTGATGTTGTTAACCTTTCACAATGGATTAATGTTGTAATTTTACAGGCTTGCCAAGGGAAAAAGCTTGATCCTGGAATAAGAGTCACACAAGTTGACTCCAGTCCATACTCGTATAAAATTCCTATTCATGCCGATTTCTTAATTGCATATTCAACAATTCCAGGTAATTAATAGGAACCAAACACACTTTTTACGTTTAGTTTTTAGTTTAAATAAAAAACATTATACTCTGTATTTATATCATAACAGTACACAGGAAGTCAATTGTCATCGATATAGGTAATCATTATCGAAGTCATGAGAAAAGTAGTGCCATCAGGAGACAAAAGAAAGAGAAGCCGATTGAATCCCGATGAAGCGAGTTGTCTCATTGTAAATCTCCCTGGCATTTAGAGCTTAATTGAGAAATTATCAGGGCAACCCTTTCACCCATGGAACCAGAACCTACAGCAAAGTACTCTGGTGTGTGCTTATGTTGGAACTGGAAAAATGGATTGAGAAAAAAACTCACACTCCAGGTATGAGGCAAGCTAAGGGAAAAGTGAAAGAACTCCCTCTCGTCAGGCAAGATTTAAGAATTATAGGCCTCTATACCGGCCTCTGCCCTCTTAACCACCTTAAGAAGATGGTTGAGGCTCAGACGGAAACATTAAAAAATGTTTAAAATCATTTATTTAATTGTTTGTATTTTATAACCATAAACCTTCATTATTTTCTGGACAATCCAATAAAATAGACATGGACAATCCGATATATCATCCCAACAAACATCCAGCAACTCTCAAATGTGTTTAAACGCTTTATGGGACATGTGGTTTATGGTCTCCCTTTTGGAATTTTTTAAAACTTCTCTGAACGAACTTACAAAACAATCAACCATTGACATCTTAGTAAAGGACATGTCTTCCTGTGATTTCTCGTGTCGTTGAGTGTGGGTTATTTGTGGCAACACCTTTAATTTTGTTGTAGGACTATTAGAGAGCTTTGCTTGGTCCAAATCAAAATTTTTGCTTCTCAGCTGAGCCAACCACTTACTGTCTGAACTGTGGTTTTCCCTCACGTAATAAAAATCTTTAAATATCGAAAATGTACTATTTTTCCCAACCATTTTAAATTATCAAAACACAGTAAAAATCTCTAACGAAACTGAAGAATAAAAACACCTTAATTAATACCATTTTAGAGTATGTGAACAATAATGACTAAATAAACATCACTTTAAAACGAAGGATAAAATCAAATTATTGCAAAGTGGTACGGAATTATTTTATAGCCCGACGTTATACTATATTTATGCTTTGTTACAGGGTTTTTTTCATGGCGCAATACTGGAAAGGGGTCATGGTTTATTCAGGCACTCACAGCAGAATTGGAAGAATCTGCTTTTCTTTACGACATGCTTACAATTCTAACTTTTGTTAATCGTAGAGTCGCGGTAGACTTTGAATCGAATGTACCTGGTAACACAATGATGGATGCTCAAAAACAAATGCCGTGTATAACTAGTATGCTGACAAGACTGGTGAAATTTCCTGAAATTAAGAATAAATAATACATTTGTACAAGATTTAAAAAAATGGATTAAAAAGCAAAACGGGCATTTGCTACTTTTTTAAACAGAAAATGTTTTCTGTTTATTAATAAAAAAAAAAGGTCTATTTTCTATAAATTCATCAATGTTTTAATTTAGTATAATATATTTTATAACCGAATTATACTCAAATGTAATTTATGAATAAATTATTTTTTTATAATAATTTACTTTAAAAAAATAATAAAATACAGTTGTATTAAAAATGTGTTTTACTATAACATCGAAGATCAATGGTTAAGTGAGATATGTGAAAATTCTCACTATAATTTGATACTTTAAACACAATTTGTTCAACAAGTTGATTGATCATTTTTTAGTAACTTTGGGGAAGGGGTTGTACATAAATTTGTATTTTCTGATTAAATCAATACCATATAATTAATTTTTTTAAGTGATAAGGAATCTAATAATAATATTATTTTTTAATATTGTGTGTAATGTATTCCTTAAATTTAATTATTTGTGTTTGTTTGATTGGTAAAGATGAAATGTATGAAAAACGCATTGTATGCATTTCTTTCTGTTCATTATTGGAATAAAATAAATAATATTTATGTTTATGTAATCCTTACTCATTCCCAGCCTCAGCAATGCCTAAAATGAGCAATTATTTATTCTAATTTGTTTATCCAATTAAGGTTAGTGGCACAGTGAGGGTCATCCCCAGACATGGCAGGAAAGAGCATCTGAAAGCTGCTGTGCTTGCCAGCACTGGTTGAAAAAAATATTGAGGTAAAGCCAGGGCGAGCAATGTCAACTTTGTTGCCGATGTGATAAAATTAAGTGTGTTTGAGCAAAATGAACAAAAAATGTCCAGATTAAATTTTCAAAATATCCCGTACTTAGAACAAAAGTTTATCAAAATAATAAAATTGGGAAAAGATTCAATTGATTTTATTTATAAAATTGTACAACCTCAAATTAAAATTTAAACATAAATGTTTCCATAATACAATAATACATGGTAATAAATTGACAAATCAAACTTAACAATTGAGTACAAACAAATTGAGAGAATGGGTTAAATTCAGGAACTTAGTTTCACAAAAGAAGCATTTCTAACAACTAAACATCTATTAATTTTAACTAACAATAAAGAAAATCTAATCTCTACAAGCAAATAAAAAAATCTAAAAAAAAAAAAAAAATCAACCATAACGGTTGATTACATATATTTTTACTATTCCAGAATGGCATGGATTGTAGCCACAAAGTGTATTATAAATCATATCTTACTAGGCCAATTTAATGTTAATATTATTTACATGAGCAAGAATGAAATTTCCATTCTTAAAATTACATTAATCTAGCTTATTGTTCTCATTTTGGGCAAAAAAGAGGCATATAAAAGCTTGATATGTTTGGCAAAATGATATGGGATATTCATTCCACATTTTTTATTCTTGTCTGTGACAAAAAGATACCATAAAATAGTAAAATAAACAACATATATAATATGTAATATAAATGTCTCCTTTTTTTACAGAAACGTTTTTTTATTGGAGAAAGACGATGTATAAATTTTCAGGAATTAATTAGCTTAACAATGAACAGCTTTATTTCCCAAATTATTTTTTTAATTTATTAATTAAAATTGTAACTGAATATGAGATGTTAATATTAACACTTTGCACCTTATACGGTAAAGTTTATTAAAGAACTCTTAGTTAAATTAAAACAATTATTTGTCTATCCTAAATTATATTATCACGATTTATTTATTTAATTTTTTTTTAATTCGTAAAGTTAAAATAACATAATTTAATTAATACTGAATATTATATCAAAATTGAAAAGCGAGTCATTCATGGAAAGTATCTAGCGAGTCCAGTCTGAGAATTTAAGAAAATTCTTGTAAATTATTAATTTGCTAGATCATCGACGTATTCAACATAGACAGGGTAAGTCCATGAAATGCCTTTGCATGCAAGAAGCCAAAACCACATTAAATCTCCAATTCAGATTTAGTAAAGGAAGAGAAAAAAATTTGTTTAACAAAAATACATCAAGTGTTGGTGTCATTGTGTTATTGATTTTAAATCACATTTTAATTACACGGCGCTCTTTGACTATGCCAAACTCAAATACACAAATTCTACGATAAGAAATATTTTCTATACAAGAGGCCATAACTAAAAGAAGTGGACGGCCTCTATATTTCGTTGGCTTATTGTGAAAAATATTTTAAATAGTACAAAAATTGCTGTGCCACTGTTAAAATATTTTCTTAATATAAATATTAAAATTTGTCTGATATCATCTCATTAACTATTTAGTCTAATCTCTCATTTAGACCTGAGCAAAATGGCTCATTAGTTCTCAATTGGAGATATTATTTATAATTTGACATGAGTATTACTTCAATGTAATTTTATTGCATATACTCGGTATTTAAAAAATACAATAATTGCTCCAAACAATAGGAGAAAGACCTTCCAGCCTTATGCTGTTACTTAAGCCGTTGAGTCACATTAGCCAATGCCACAGCAAATGCTTGTACTGCTGAAAACGGATACTGGAAGTCTAGTGTATAAGCATTACCGTCTATTCTTCCAAACTGCATTACCTAAAATTATATAACATAATACAGTTAATATTTCCGTATTGTAATATTTTTACAAAATCTATACCTGCTTTCCTCTAAATTCAACTTGAAAATTCTTTGCTGATTCTTGAGTCACCCTTCCTCCGAAGTCCAACTGGTACACCTGATTATTTTCATTCCACATCGGTGCTTTATTGTGCATAATAAACTCTCTTCTCTTAGCAGTAGTTTCAATCTGTAAATAAATTAATATCTTAAGTAAAAATTTTAATCACATGCTTTAGTTGGGTTATTTTTTATTTTTATTTTATTTTTAACTAATAAATCTATAATAGCAACACTGGGCAGAAAGGCTATGAGGATGATGATAAATTGGCCAAGGAAAATTCAGTCATGACATCTATCAACCCTAAACCTTTTAGCAGCATACCAACTGGCCAAAAAGATAAATAAACCGAACAATGGAATAAGAACAAGTCCTTGGTTCAATAGGATTGTATTCCAGAACAGAGGCAAGTTCAAACGTGCCATCCAAAAGGACCTTAACAGAAACTGAAGACAGAGCTACTAAATTTTGGACATATTAGAATTAGAATGAAGTGATTCCTTTCATAAAGGCGTTACGTACGTTGGGTGTTGTATTTAACACTTCAATTAAAATTCCAAAAGCTGTGCCTTGATTTGAACCCAGAAATGCTAACATGATATATATATATATATATATATATATATATATATATATATATATATATATGCCCAAACCACCCAACCATGTGTGACATGTTAGAGCTAGAATGATAATAGCACTGCTGACTGGATACTGCAGACTCTGAAAGCATATTTACAGACTCAAGGCAGCAGAAACAAGCCTGTGCAAATATTGCTAGAAAGAAGAAACACCAGAACATGTTAGGATGATTGTGGCTATTGAATACCAATGAGATCAAAAGGCTGAGTGTTACCAAGAAATAGTAGTAGAATAGCCAACACTTTGGCCTCATCGGTAGTAAAGTCCAGAGCAAGACATCGGAGAAAACAATAAAATTATTCTTGTTTAGGTACCAGGGCAAGGAGAATGATTATTGGGCTAAGAAAGTGCAAAACTACTAAATCTATGTGCTAGGACTAGAACAGTAGGACTGCTGACAGGTCACTGCAGACTCCAGAGTCACATGTGCAAGTATTGCCAGGAAGAAGAAGAAACATCAGAATCTGTCCTCTGTTAGTGTGACCTACTTCTGGGAGATGAAAAGCCAAGGCCTGAAGGATACAGGAGCCCTTAATAAAGCCTTAGGATCTGCTAAAAAGTTTTAAGCTTAATGAAGAATTAGTTTATTATAGAGATTGCAAAATAAAGCGATAAGGTCGACCTTAATCTAAACTCTTTTCAATTAATTAATTTTTAAATAAGGTTTTGGTTGAGATAAAAAAGTCAGTGTCACAAGCGGGATTCAAACCCACGGCCTTCGGCTAATGCCGCTGCTCTACCACTTGAACTAAAACAAGCTATAAATTCTTTTCAATTAATTAATCTTTAATTAAGGTTCAAGGTCTTTAATTTTGGTTCAAGATGGTTGAAAATTCAAAAGGTGGGGTTGAGATGGGAAGTTAGTGCCCGAGTGGATCGAAGTCACGATGGCTCAATTGGTAGAACAGCGGTGTACTTAGCCAAAGGTCATGGGTTCGAATCCCACTTGTGACACTTTTTTATCTCAACCAAAACCTTAATTAAAGATTAATTAATAGAGAAGAATTTATTTGGCCAAGCAGACCACGAAACCTAATAAACTTAATCTAAACCTTATAATTGAAATATAACTTTATATTTTTATAAATAAAAATTGTATAAGTTACCTTATTTCTTAATTGGGCCTTTTGAAAACTCTCCAGATCTTGGTAGCCATCAACATCATTGCGTTTGTTACCACTTCTTAGTCGTCTAGGCAACAATGGTGAATTCATGATCCGAGCTCTTAAAAATAAATATAAATAAATTTATTCAAGTCTAAAAGTAAGAATGAAGTAAAAAAGCTACCTTATGGGTGAAGAGGTTGTGTTTCTTTTCTTTTTAGATAAGGCTGGACTTGCCGGAGAGCTACTAGGTGGTGGTTGGATTGTATGGCCTGTACCGGCAATCCCTTTGTCCATGTCCGACGAGTCTAAGGATCTACTTTTCCCGGCATGGGTCAAACGTGCTGGCCTGTTTTGTCGAACAAGAACGAGTCTGTTGTTGCTTCCTCCTTCGACAAAATCTAAATAGCCGACACTGCAGCTCCTGACAACACCACCACGCCTTGAAGTGTTGTCTTCGCCACTTTCGCCGCATTCACAATCTCGAAAAGAACTTCTAGTCATAAACCAATCAGCTCTTGTTTTTCCATTTTCATTATTTCCATTGGCATGATATCCTATAAAGAAATTTAAATAAGAACATAAGATTTTCTTTATTTTGACTTTTTAAATTATTTTTTACCAGCAGCTCCTCTGCATCTCGCTCTCAACGGTGCAACAGCAACAGCACCTCCTTCATCCATTCCTTTTCCATTTTCATCATCATCATCGCTTACAACTTGACTTACACCTGCATCACATGGACCATCTCCTGCCATTAATAGTGTCATTTGTCTTGGCTGGAGATGTAAAAGGCTTGTCTTGTACGTAACTTGACCAAGGTTTGAGGCAAGACCACTTGCAATACCATGGATCCTGAATTTAGTACCCCAAATGTTTGAAGTGACTTCTGCTAAGTGAGACTCCTAAAAAAAAAGTCAAATGCATCATAATAAGATTTCTTTATTTTAAAAAAAAATTACCTCAGGTAGTGATCCAGCATAAAGATTTTGATTATAATTGCGATTTTTCCTTCTAGTCAACCGAGGACTTCCACAGGAATCTTCACATTCTGAATCTTCTCTCTCGCTACCACTATAATTGCCGTTGAGGGTGGCATTCAGTTTGCAAGAACAGTCTGAAAACGATTTTAACATTATTTAAAATGAACTGTAAATATGAAATAACTAAAGCGTACCTGCAATTTGAGGATCGAATATAACGAACTCAGGCTTCAGTTTACTTGTACGTTTCCCTTTCAATAGCGGTACCAAACCACCAAGGTATTCTAGAAAAAGTGTGTAGCAATTGGCAGAAATATCTTCGTCATGTCTTAACATCGTGCAGTGTAATCTGACTTTTGGCGTCCTGCTAACAAACTCCCTCAATCCAGAACCCTCAGGTACACAGCACTTACAAAACATAAATTAAACAATTAATTTATTTTAGATTTTAATTTATAAAATATGTTAAAGTTAATCTTACACGAATTGTATGGGCAAAGAGTTTTGATAAACGATGTTGAATTCTAAGTGGTAAAGGTAAAGAACTAATCTGATGCGCTCCACCTTGCAAGCGATTGTACACTTGCAAACTGCAAAGCAACTGGAGAGAGGCTATTCTCATGGAAACCCAAGCCATATGTACAATACAGCCTGTAGCAACGAACAACCGTTTGTCGTTATGCCCCCAAGTCATAGCAGTGACTGCAGACTGAACAATATGTAAATTTAAATTAAAACGTACATCACCTCAAAAAGAACACAAAATAATTACAAGTGTGTAGGGAATTATCGAGCTATAAAGCAGATTGCCATTGTCTGTGTAAACTTTCACCATGTTCTTGTATTCTGTATTTGGCACGGTGCCGGCCACTGCAAGAAGTTGCTTACTGTTTGACCATTCGATGCACAACGGGCAAAGACCTGTTTGGATGTGGATGGGTGAAACGTCGTAGTAATGTTTCATCAAAAGAACCACACCATTTTCTAAACTCACAGCCAACACATATTTAGCACATAGACAGGAATCTGAAAATTTTATAATTACATTTCTGTTATTCTATCCTAATTTTTATATTTTATATTACCATTTGAATCGTCAGTTTCTTCCATTTTAAATTTTTCGCAAGACCACGCCATTGATGTCACTGCGACTTGATTCGCAATTTCAACCTGAGCCATCATAGCACCATGAACATCCATCACCACCAGTTGGCCATTACTGGTACCAAAATACACCTGAAAGAATCAATAAATAATATTTTTTTATTATTACTAAATGTTAATAATTAAGATTTATTACAAGTTGATCATCTGGCGTCCATATACCGCAATTAATTGTGCAATCTAAATTCAACATTGAAGACCAGTACCTTTGGCCTGCTACTGACCCAACGAGCACAAAACCATCCTGTAAGAAAATAATAATAATTAAAACAAATTTTAAACAATACGTTGGTAATTGATGAACCTGATAACATATTAAAGCCATGCGACCATCATGAGACCAACTAAAATGTGTAACCCTCGTATTCCTATCGTTAATTAATTCGATACTCCATCTTCCTTCGTATTTAATCCAAACAAATATAACTCCTGAACTGTCACATGATGCTAACTTTTGATAAGGCTCGTTCCATTTCACAAGAATCACCTAGACAGAGTGAATCGTTAATAGAGGAAATTTTTCTAGTTTTATTTTAAACCGTAATTTACCTCAGATCTGTGGCCTCGTAAATTGTAGTTTGTCCTCGTGGGACAGTCGAGTGTTTTGTTGCAATGGGATGTGGTGTAAGTAACACCGACGATTCCGCGAACATTTCCAGTAGCTAGCCACCCCTCTTGGTAATAATTAGTCCTATTCAATTTCCAACCTTCATCCTGAAAGATCAAATGTATAAATATTTTAAATAGTGAACATTAAGCAGCATTAAGCTTGTAGTTCAACAGAACGTGGTGTAGTACTTTCTGAATGATCTCGGATTCTCGGGTTTTTACAGGATATACCTGAATCAGTTCATTCATTCATTTTGAAGCCATCCCTCTTAAAACTTTATAGATGTTGCACATTATATTCCAGAATCCAGCAGTCCCAATTTCTATGTTTGTATTTATTCTTGTATGCCCAAAATTTTTAGAGAAAAACATCTTAAAGATGGCTACAAGCATTTTACGATTGTAATATATGGTTTCAAATATATTTGTAGACTGCCTCAGTCCCAAAATTGCCAATGTCACTTCGTACAGTCCCTGGCAAAGTTGGGACTGAGTTAACCATCAAAGAAATTTGAAACCATCTACTAAAAACTTAATTAGGGTCAATTTGTAGACATCTTTAAGATTGTTTTGCCCTGATGATGACCATAAAATAAGTCGAAAGCTTGGCAGATAACAATTGAATTTGTTTTTTCATCATTTCAGTCATCCAGACCAAACCATATTATTCATGAGTAAAAAAAGTGATTGATACATCTAACACTCTAAACAAAATTTTTAGATCGCATCCAATTTATTTGTTTTTTTGAATCTGTATGAGCTTCTCCGTGTAAGTTTCCAATAGAGTTTATAAGCTGATTGTGATGCCTAGATTTTCCAAGCCTGATGGGTACTACTTTTTTCTCTCCATTGCTTCTGATTCCATATGCATGACTGAACTTGGGATAATGATGATGATGATATTTGGAAGGGGGTTATTCCTCAAGCGCTGCAGCCTTCTTACTTTATTTTTCATATTTCCCTAGTTCGATTCAATTCAATTGATGTAGAGCCCGGATTTGTGTGCAATTGCACATTCTTTTTGCTAACACTAACAACTGTCACATTTCAATTTATTTCAAAGTGACAATGTTGTTATTTAGATTTCATGATTAGGCCTAGAGCAAAAATAAGAGAGGATCAAGAGAATGAGGGTAGAGACAGTCCAGTCTAAAAGTGAACTAGTCCATTCCGTGAAGATGAGAGACAAAAAGAAGTGTGCAATCCTGAAAAGAATTTAAAAAGTGTTGGATTCCCTAAAATAGAGTGCTTCGGTACAAGCAGATTGACTGTAAACAATGAGTACCCATCCGCCCTTGTTCCTTCCTTCAAACGGTCTGCATGAAATTACTGTTTATTTAAATTTGGAAAGTTTTAATTGTTTGTTTAAAAATAAATAAATTCGTCGATTTAAATTGTTACTTTCTTGTGTAATTAATAAATTGTTTTCAAACTTGTATTAAATTTTATTATAAAAAGGCACCTGATCGGTTGCATTCAGGTTCGATCAAAACCTCTGGGGCTCTGTTTCTAATAAAAAGGATTCAGAGTTGGGCCCATCTTGAATCGAGAACAGACCGTGACACAACTATGATCAGATATCTATCTGAATCACAATTCCTTGGTAGGAAAGTTCAAATTTTATTCTTCATACATTTCCAGCAGAAAAAACTAGGCAACCAAGAACACAAAAAAGACAAGAGCGTAAAATGTGATTTAGATTTTAGTTAACTTTTTGAAATAATCGGCATATTATTTGAGGTACCTATTTCCAAAACTGCTGGGTGCAGTTTTTCCCCCTGAAAAATTAGTCCTTTCTAACATAGTTGGGTTGTGTAAATAGGGGCCTCATTTGAAACAATAATAGTCAGTCTCAGACCTCTTTTGTATTTTCAACTTATTAAACCTAAAAAAATGCCATAGTGGGACTTCACTTCTAAAATAGCAGGCTGGATTTTTTCTTTCGGTACAAAACAGAAATTAAGTAAAATCCCCGGTGATTATATTACAAAAAAAAAAGTTTAAAAAACATCCTTGACTTGACTGGGACATTCAGTCCCTTGACTGAACTGGGAAAAATGGATGAAATCTTAAATGAAAACAATTAAGAAGTATAGGGAATTGACAATCCAATTATTTTAAGTTCTTACAAGAATACTCCCATCACCTCTGTTGATGTTGAAAAGTATTTTTACAAGTACGTACAAATATTTTTTGAGTGATAAACACTAAAGTTTTTCAATAACTAATTTTTAAATGTATTCCATTGTCAGTTTTAATTCAGATCATGAACTTAATTAAGCTTAATTATGTATTTATTTAATACTTTGAATTTTCTGTTCTACTTCCTTTCAAAATGAATATATTATACTAGGCTAAAAATAATTCTAGGTTAAAAAAATTATTAATTTTTTAAATCAAGTGATGTATATGACATTCATTGTGCATAATTTTAAGTGCTTACAAGGCTGCTCCCATCACCTCTGTTGATGTTGAAAGTCTTTTTCCAAATACGTACAAATATTTTTTGAATGAAAGCGTAGTTTTACAGAATCTAATTTTGAAATATATTTCAATGCCAATTTTAATTCAGATTATGATGTTAATTAACCTTAATTATTTATTTTGTTTAATATTTTGTCTGAAATTTTGTTCTAGCTAATTTTTTATTCAAGTGATGCCTATGACATTCATAGTGCGTATTTTAATGTTTTTAGTATAAATTATGGCATGAGGGTTTTAGTGATATAACGTTGCGTATTGAAGGATTTTTTACTGCATACTATATGGCATATTTGAAGATTTTTATAAAATGAAGATTATATATAAAATGGTGCTCTGGTCATGTGTTTGTTGTTTTGTACGTCTGTAGATTGGAAAGTAAAGTTCAAACGTCTATAAGTTAATTATTGAGCTTTTTAAACAAAATCTAACTGTTTTCAAGGTGCAGTCTTTTTAAACTAAATCTTTGACCTTTGGCAAATATAAGAGGTCGATATAACAGGAAGAAGAAGATTTGACCTCCTTAAAAAACCCGACTTCCGAACGTCGTTTTCCTATAAGTCAACAAAAAAATTTCAAAAAATCGCGGCTATAAATAAGAAATGGAGGCTCGGTTTAAAAGTTACAGAAGAAAAAAATCTTATTTTTATTTAACAACTTTAACCAATTTGTCGAAAAAAGTACAAATAGATATTTCCAAATTACACAGGATATTATTATTATTGTATGGGTGATTCGTATTCGTACGACAAATACGTCAGGGGCTCCTTCTACCCCCCAACATACTACAACAACATTTGTACAACCAATGCAACAAAAAAGTTCGACCCATTTTCCGATTCTCAACCCTAAGCAGATACTCAACATTTTATGATTTTTTTTTTTTTCAACTATCTACGGTTTTCGTCATAAATCCACTAGCAGCTCTTATACTGTTCGTTTTGGGGGAAATACAAAAAACGCATTGAAAAGAGCATTAAATTTCCTTTAATAAGGCACCCCTCTCCAACTTTCGATTTAATTTTTGTTAAAAAAACACTGAACCTTTCAAAAATTGCTAAATTTAAAATTTGCAAAAAAAACTATATTTTCAACCCTATTGGGAAAATTCACGGTAGTGCTTGGCAAATTTCTTAACAATTTTTCGTTTAATTAAATTTCTAGCGGTATACCCTTTTCGTTAATTACTTGGAACCAAAATGCAAACATTGTATGCTAAATGGGAAAAAAGGTGGTGTCGGTGTGAGAGAGGGGTAGCGGGGGTTAATCTGGTAATTCAATTTTTTGACAGAATGTATTTCCCAATTTATTAAAAAAAAAGCACAAAAATAAAGAAAAATGAAACAAAACATAATAAACGACGGTAAAAATAGCGAACCAAATCAGAAAAATTGGATAAAATAACTACACAACACAGACAAAAGAGGAGAAAAAAGAAAACAATATAGAAGTTGTAAAACCCAACTTTAACTCAATAAAAAAAAGCACCAAAAAAGGAAATTTCAATGTAAAAATCGAACAAAACACGTAAAAAAGAGAATCACATAGCTAACAACCAAATTAAGTTGATTTTTTCTCCTTTTTTGTTCTTTTTTTTTCTTTTATCCATGTTTAGTGAGGATATTTTATCTAATTTTTCTGCACTGGTTGTTCACTATGTTTATAGTCTCTTGTTCGTGTTTTATTTCATTCTTCTTTCTTTTTATGGTGCGTTTTCGTCTTTTTTTAAAGTTGTAGTTGGGAAATAAATTTTGCCTAAGACAAAAAGTCGAATTACTAGATTAACCCCATTCCCCCTTTATCACACCGACACCACCCACAGCAAAAAATTTCTTTATTTTGTAATTGAAGATGTAATTAAAGAAAAGGGTATTCTGCTTATTAAATCGTTATGAAATTTGCCAGGCTCTATCGTGAGTGTTTCCACTTAGGTTGTATATTTAATTTTTTACACATTTTAAATTTAGCAGTTATTGAAAAAAAAAATACATTGAAAGTTCTAGAAGAATGCATTCTTAAAAGTAATTTAAAGCGCTTTTCAATGTTTGTTTTTTATTTTTTGAACGAGAAAAAAACACGTTGCTTATCTGCGAAAGGGTTGAGAATCGTACCATGGTTCATACGAACTTTTTCGTTGCATTTGAGGTGTAAAAGCACCCGACGAACTTTGCGTACAAGTAGCGTAACACTTGGGGTACAAACTAAAGGAAATTACCCGATTGAACGGGTTTTTTCGTAAAGAGTTACCACTCCTGTACTGAAATTTGCACCCCCTTTTAGTCGATAATTCTACAAAATTTCGCGTAATAAGCAACAATTAACTTATGACAAAAAATCGATCAGATCCCTCAAAACGATACTAACACGAAATTCATACATTATTCAATAGAATCGAATTTGCTATTCTAACTAAATAATAATATTTGACATGATCGACGAAGACGTGTATTGATCTATGAATAAAATTTATTCCTATATAATATGTAAACATGCGTGGTAGATAAATAAATGATAGAGAAACAGCAAAATGGAGCGAGAGAAAATAGAGATACTGTGTTTGAAATTAATACTATCTATTTTTTATATTATATATGAAATTGCTGAATAAAACATCGATACTATTGTATATATTTATTTTTATAAAACACACACACACACACAGAGTGAAACATTACAACTATACATCTAACTATACTAAACAAAATGTCGTATAAAGCGACTGTTCTTTTTTTAATAATTAATTATATAATTTGAACTAGAAAGCAAAAAGTATGTCCTTATAATTATAAAGTTATAAAGTAAATAATATAAAGTCTTAAAGAAAAATTGGTTCGACCTTGTTTTCTTAAAGATAACTGCAATCAAACGATAGACGTATTTTCTTCATTATTACGAGACATTGTTATAAAGAAAACTTTTCTCTTAAAACTACTTGTATCATTTAAAAAAAGTAATAAATCATGTTAAAAGGAATGACTTACTTCTGGCAGTTCATCAGGTACTTTTCCCATCCATGACAAGCTAAGGATCGTACAGTCACATTTCGTATTGGTATTCTTTTCAAAATGAAGGTGCATATCACAACGATATCAATAATTTCTTTTCTTTTTTTTATGCGATTATCAAGAGGATTCTTTTCCAGTGGTCGAAAATAATTGATTCTGCCTCAGACTCATAACAGAAAGAAACCAAAAAAAGAAACTTAAGCCCACCGGGAATAATTTCACACGCGTACGGTATTCTGTAAAGGATCAACACGACAAATCAGGCATAATTATGCTGGACCGTGGCGATAAAATCGACGGGGAAAACGTTATGTGCATTCGGGAGAATATTCAACCGAGATAACTGGCATACAATTATTGATTTTGTATTTCGTCCTCCCACACAGCGCTGCCACGATCGCCCCAACTTTACTCTTACTGTATTTCCGAACTTTTATACGATTATTTTTATAATATTAATTTTTATTTGGCTAAGCTTTAAATGAGAGGAGAAACACGAAATCGCACATATATCAAGGAGAAAGTTGCTTTTTGGCCCTATTTTTAATTGTTCCAGCCAATATTTTTCATGTTTCATTCAATTTCATTTAATATAATATTCATAATTTTATAATTTTTCATATCAGCAGGCTTTGCCTTGCTTCAGAACGTTTCATACCTTGTAAAAAAGCCTATACAGGACCAATTTATCAATTTATAAATTTTTGAACTATTAAAGTCTTTCTTGGCTATACATCAACTATTCTTGTTTAATTTTTTTATTAAAAATTATCTTGCAAGGTTGCTTTTTTACAACGACCTGAATACTGCCCAGTGGTCCTCCTGAATCTACCAGCCCTACTTCATCCTATTTGAGAGATGAGGACATGTCCCACATTTTGGGGTTGAATAAAAATTTAAAAAATTCTTTCCTCCACTGCGACCTCTCTATTGTGGAATCCCTACAAATTTTCACCATACCCTGTAAAGTGCACTTTTTATTATAACTTTCCTCGATGTCTCTTTGTGCATTTCTTCTGGTATGAAAATTGCCTTACCGAAATGGCTTACCATAACCAGGCTAATGTTTAATAATTTTCCTTGCCTGAGAGAGAGAGAGAGAGGAGTTCCTCTCTCCTTTCTTTTTGAAAGATTTATAAATCTCTTAGCTTGCCCCATACTGTGCTTTTTTAGTTTTTCTTTCTCAAGCCATTTTTCCAGTTCCAACTTACTGCAACTACAGTGCACCTAGTTGTGGTTTTGGTCCCTATGGGTGATAGTGATGTCCCTTTTTGTGCTAGTTAGTACATGGTCAGTATGCTGCTGTGGTCAAGAACAATTCACATATAGGAAGTAATTCGCTCCCTGTAAAGTACCAAGTTTGTATAATTAAATTTTTCCTTAGTATTCATTGTTATAATTTCAACCGACCTTGACCACGCCTTATTACTGAACAACCAGTCTCAAAAAAACGCACGATGTCCAAGAATTTTTTTAGTATGAGTAGGTTTTTCATGTTATTAGTATAGTTTGTGTGATGCTGGGTGTTGGTCTGTGAGTCGTTGAACCCGAGCTGAACTGGGTCACTTGCAGGTGAAAATGGAACCAATAAGAGACCCAACATCGGTTCAGCATGAATTCACAGGCTTAAATACGAACTCCAGCATCAACTATATCAAGTCAGACTACATTACGTGAAAGATACACAAAACTAACAAACTATACCCCATGAGTAAAGACAGACCCAATAAGTGACGCAATGCCGGTTCAGTATGAATAAATGTACCAATTAATGAAATGAATTCAAAATCAAATAAAACCAAAAAGTCAGTTGGTTATTTTGACTGACTGTGCAAAACTGAAATTGGTCATCACATCTAATCTAATTTAGCACTAGAAGATAAAGATTTAGATTAAAGATTCTCAGGAAAATTCCAAAACTGTTTTTAGAAACTAAAGTCCCTAACCATTTCACAAACAATAAATATGATTACAACAATTTAAAAAATTTGTTCTTTTATTTCAACTACTATTAAGAGTAAACCTAGAGAATCGAATTATCAGTCTTATCAGTTCCCTGATACAAATTGTAATCCAAGCATTTATTGTCTCATTAATTTTAATTTATTTATGTTTTGTGGTCTAATTGACCATATTAATTATTTTAAGTAATTATTCTTTTTGTGTAAGGTCTTGGTTGAGGTGAAAAAGTTAGTGCCACGAGAGGGATTCGAACCCACGAGGGGGGGGGGATTAGTGTCCAAGTGGATCGAAGTCACGATAGCTCAAGTGGTTTGAGCAGCAGCGTATTGAGCCAAAGGTTGTGGGTTCGAATCCCACTCGTGACACTACTTTTTCATCTCAACCAAGACCTTACATAAAAAGAATAATCAATTGAATTAGTTAATTTTAATGTTTAAACCATTTGATGAATAAAAATGCCTTTATCACCCTGGAGAAAGAAACTTAAGTATAAGATAGGTGCATAAAAAACATGCAACTGTACACACATAAAATCCTAATTTCCTCTAAATACCTACCTAGAAACAATCCTGCTCTTAAGAACAATTCAAATATATGAACTTTAGGGCCACAAATCAAACTTGCTTCCTATAAGGTGCCATGTTTATATGGCTTCTATGTATACATGCAAAGTCCATGTATAAGTAATTTCATAGTATTATTTCTTTAGTATGAGTAAGTTCTATGTTCCAATTAATACCAATTTGAACTAATTAATGAATACAACCAAAAAGTCTGTTGGTTATTTGATTGACAATTTGCAAAACTGAATTTCGACATCATATCTAATCTAGTGAATGTATATCTTAGTAGTTATAATTTGGCACCCAAAGATAAAAATTTATATTAAATATTCTCTTGAATATTCCAAATAATATTTCAGAAACTAAAGTTCCTAACCATTTCACAAGCAATAAATATGATTACAACAATGAAAAAATAATAATTTTGTTCTTTTATTTCAACTGCTATTAAGAGTAAACCACGAGAATCAGAATTATCGACAGTTGGTCTTATCAGTTCCCTGATGCAAATTATAATCCAAGCATTTATTGTCTCATTTTAATGTTTCAATCATTTGATAGATAAATCTGTCTTTATCACTCTGGAGAAAGAAACTTAAGTATAAGATAGGTAGATTAAAAAAAAGCAACTATATATACTTAAACTCCTAATTTCCACTAAATAACTACCTAGAAACAATCCTCCTCTCAAGAACAATTCAAATATATGACCTAGGGTCATATATCCAACTCGCTCCCTATAAGGTGCCATGTTTTAGTATTGAATTTTCTCTCATTATTCATTATTATCACTGTACCCCAGATTATGAGAAATTTCATAGTAATTTTCTTTTGCATAAGTTCTGCGTATGAACAATATCATTTGTACCAATTAATGAATAAAACCAAAAATTCTATTGGTTATTTTGGCTGACAATGTGCAACATTAAAAGTCATTGGATTGACTATCATATTTATTCAGGTAGTTTATATTTTGGTAGTTATAATTGATAATTTGATACTATAGATGATAAAGATTTATCCTATAATTTAAATTGTAGATCAGTTGACCTTGAAAGTTCGCGGTTTGTACCAGTAGGTTCTGTAACTGTTAGAATGGTTGGAAACGTGACGTTTGCGAACTACCCTTGAAAAATTTTGCAACTTTACACAACTAGGCCGATTTCTGACCGACCGGCCGAAACCGAAAGACCAAGACCGCCGACATCGGAAGTTCAGAACTCGTCGATCTGCGAATTTTGAATCGACACCAAACGACAGAAACGAACACAACCATGGGATCGGAATACGACGATTCACACTCGTCGAAACTGTCGAGGAAAATTCATGAAAACCCATTCATGCCAGTTGGTAAGTGGGATAAAATTATATTTAGAAATAAAACTTCTGGGTCATTAACAAATCGTCCGTCTTCATCAATTCTTTGTGTAAACAAAGAAAATTCTTTAAAATGATTTCTACATAACAATAATTTCTCAATTTTTATTTTTGTACCGTCAAATGAGAACATTTTTATATTTCATATATATATATATATATATTTTACTCATGATTGTGTTAATAACAATTTTTAATTTTTTGTAAAGAAACCAATTTTATACAAAATATTAAGCTAGTAATATACATTTAAAATTTCTGTGAACCCACCTACATTGAGTCAGAGTGCGGTGGTCAATAATTAGCTTTGGTGTTGTTCATTTATTATTTGCTAGAAAGTGCGATGAACTAACAGTTTTGAACAAATGAGAATGATTCCATAAAATCTCTTGCTTGGGTTTTATTGGGGACGAGTAGGTGAAAAATAGCTAGTTATTGATTTTTCTTAAATCCAGTTGAAAAAACTAAACCATTTTGCTATAAAGTACTATGAATAATCAGTTTTTAACAAATGAGAAAGGTTCAATAAAGTATCACAGCATTATACACATACAGCATACATATTGCTTGGATTTTATTTGGTGCAAGTAGATGAAAAATTGCTAGTTATTGATTTTTCTCAAATCCAGTTGAAAAAACCAAGCCTTTTTCCTAGAATGTACAAAGAATTTTCAGTTCACACATACAGCATAAGTATTGCTTAGGTTTTATTTGGTGCAAGTCGAGGAAAAATCACTAGTTATTTTTAGTTAGGTTACACATGAGAAAGTTCAATAAAGTATTACAGTATTACACACATACAGCATACATATTGCTTGGATTTTATTTCGTGCAAGTGGATGAAAAATCACTTTTTTTATAAGTTTGTTCTAAATGAAAAAGTTCAGTAAGGTATTACAGTATTACACACATAGAGCATACATATTGTTTGGATTTTATTTGGTGCAAGTGGATGAAAAATCACCTTTTTTTTAGTTAGTTATAAATAAGAAAGGTTCAGTAAAGTATTACAGCATTACACACATACAGCATATATATTGCATGGAATTTATTTGGCACAGGTAGATGAAAAGGAAAGAGCTAGTTATTAATTTTCTCAAATTCAATTCAATTCAAATTTCAACAAAATTAAACCTTTTTATTAGAAATTAAGTTTGTTAATTATTTAACGATGAAAATAGATTATCGACCTGCTGGATACAAGAAGTTCTTTTCAGAGGATCTTCGGAGGAGGTACCTCTTCCGAAGATCCTCTGAAAAGAACTTTTTGTTAATTATTGTTAAATTAGGTTAAGATGAGCCAATATTTTCTAACAAATGAGAAAAGCAGGAAAATAGTACAGTATTAAAAACAAACATTGTATGTCTTGCTTGGATTTTATTTAGCGCAAGTAGATGAAAGATTGCTGGTTATAGAATCTTCTCAAATCTAATTGACAAACTAAACACTTGGTAAAAAATTAAGTTTGTTAATTAGTGTTAAATAAGATTTAAATGCGCCAATAGTTACTAACGAATGAGAAAGATTCAGTAAAATGTGACAGCATACATCTTGCTTGGATTTTATTTGGTGTAGGTAGATGAAAAGGAAATTGCAAGTTATTAATTTTCTCAAATTCATTTGTCAAAATTAAACATTCACTAAAAAATTAAGTTTGTTAATGAGTGAATATCTAATTCTTGTCAAATCTAGTCGTCAAAATTAAACACTTGCTAAAAAATTAAGTTTGTACACATGCAGTATGTATATCTTGCTTGGATTTTATTTGGTGCAAGTAAATGGAAAAATTTTCTAGTAATTGATTTTATATAAGATCATTAAAGGATGAGATAAAATATCAGAGTAGTATGATTATCTAGTGCATCAGTCGACAAATTTTTTAGAAAAGGGCCAAATTGTAAACTAAATCAGGTTCTGCATTGGCACTTTAGGTACTTTTAACATTGGAGCATCAGTGATGATATGAAGAATTTTTTACTCGAGGGATTGGATCATGTTAAATTTTGTTTATTTAACAATATGTTATTCATAAGTTCATGTAGAAGCTGGAAGAGCTGAATTAAGTTTTTTTTAAAGTCTTAAATGTCTACCTTTTTTAAGTCATTGTGTACCTGTAGTTCAGTTCTGCTGTTTTAAATCGTTTAGTGGCTTTTATGTCACCCTTTTGTCTTTGTACAGTCCCAAGTATTTGACACGGCTCTGGAAGTTGTATTTGATCCAGATAAATGAGTGAGCATTTTGAGTTTGAGAATAAAAATCAAATATTGTGATTTGTTTTCATTTATTTTTATTCTCTATTTATGAAGCCATGGTTCAAAGGTCAGGAGATGGTCTTGGAGGGATTGAACCTACTAGCACAGGATCGAGGTTTGCAGAGAGGATTGCTGTATCGTCAGCAAAGGTAAGAGTAGTTTGTTGGAGTTGAGGGAAGTCTGCAGTATAAATCTGAAAAGTAATGAACCTTGGATGCTTCCTTGAGGAATACCAGGAGGATAGAATGCATCAAAGAGGTTGAGGTTTCGTAGGTTACTTGGAAGAAATGATCATATAGGTAGGATTTTAGAATGAAATGGTATGAAAGAAGGATTTAAGTTTCAGTAGTAAGCTCTTCCCACCGAGGTCAAATTCTGGGGAGATGTATAGAAAAACTCCAGGGTAGAACTGGTAGATTGTGGTGTGGTGATTATGGACGCCAAACTGTGTTCAGGAAAATGTTGGTTGTGGATAGGATTTCTTCCTGGACAGATAGGGTTAGCTTCTCAAGTATTTTACCGAGGATAGGTGCATAGGACAGTACGAGGAAACATTGTTAGTTTGTTTTATAAGATTGTTATAATATGGATGGAAGAGGATTTTCTTGGGGTATGTAAATGGGTGGTTACGATAAATGACATGCTGAAGAATATTTTGGATGTTATTCGATCAAACTATTATTTCACATAAGGTTGAAGACAACCTTTTAGTACGTCATCAGGCATGAATGACAAGAATTGTAGGGGCAAAAGGAGAAAGATGTCAGGTTGTTCCATCCATTTTTCTGTTCCTTTCAATCTTGGACCCTGCTTTTATTTGTAATAGTCAAAATTAAGCACTTTATCTAAATGATTTTTACAATAGTGTTGCTTATACACTACCCATTTTGTTAGAGATTGTTTTATATTTAATATTTTATTAGAGTAATTAATGTAAAAGTATTATAGAATTACATTAAAGTATAAAGGTTTGGTAAAATAATACAGTAAAACATTCTTGTGCATGGCTTCTTTGATTTTACAAATGGACAGAATAAAAGAAGTTGCATTATATTTTTAGATAGGTAATATTTAATTAACACACAATGCATTTTGAATTTGTATTTTTTCAGGTATCGCAGGGCTGATCCTTGCCTGTGGCTTTGGAGCTTACCAATTTAAAAACAAAGGGAAGATGTCCACAAGCGTGTATCTGATGCAGTTACGAGTTGGTGCTCAAGGGACAATTATCGGCACTCTTGCCATCGGTGTTGTTTACTCCTTACTCAAAAACCACGTTTTCAACAAAACGGACTGACCCGAATAAAAATTAGGAACAAATTAGTGACACGTGTACAAGTATGTGAAAGCGAACCAGTTGTATTTTTTCCGTACCAAAAAAAAAATCAACATTAACCAAAATATTTTTAATGAATAATATGTATATAGCATATTATTGTTATTTATTTTCTTTATTGATACATCAGGAAGTAAAGATTGCCGAAAATCATTGTTTTTTTAAACCTTTGTACCTGTATATCTATGCTAAAATGATTCCGTGGTAAATTATTCACAAAATTATGTTAAAATGTTAGAACGAAAAAATTTAAATTATTTAATTATATAATATGTATTTAGCATATTATTGTTATTAATTTATTGTATGTATGTGATTCATCAAGAATTGATGAAATTAAAAGAATTATTATTGTCATTGTTTTGTATTTTCTCCTCTAATAATTATAATTAGAGACTGCAGGGGCCAAGTGATTAGGGCGTCTGACTCGTATTTACTGTTACAATTATTGGTTCTGCATTCAAATCCTGGCACAGCCCATTGAATAGGATACAATACCATACATTATTCAGATGACCTGGTCATCATCATCCTCAAGTTATTGGGTCCTGGATGCCTCAAGAATTCTCTGTTGTTCTCTGTCTCAAGTGGCTCCCCACCAATTTCAAGCAGATCACCTGGTAGCAATCATAAAGGGAAAATTTCATGACATTCTGTCGAATCGGATGCTAAACACCCTAAATGTTGTGACAATGGTTATCAACCCTAAGAAAATATCTCCCAGGCCCTGCACAAAGAGATATTACACTACTTGATTTATCATTACTAGTTTATTAACCGCTGCATGACATCAGTTTTATCTACAGGGGCCGTAACGATCTCGAGGGCTAAGTTTCTTGTAAAGATCCATGATCTAATGCAACTGTGTCATACAATACAGGATTGTCCCGCACAATTTCAATTAAACTTTCGTCATGTTCCATCATTACGGCAAACCCACAATGTGAAGGACACAAAATCTGTGCGGCTCTCGCAAACGAACCACGCGTGGTTGAAGTCAAACTGAGCTGGCTGTGGAGTGGGTTCAATTTGCATACACCACCTGGAACTGCATTTCACAGAACCCACGTGTGGGCTGGGTGTGCTGTCCGAGGGCTGGGTTCAATTTGTGGCAGGCCTTAGAGTTGTGGCTCATTTGCCTTTATTGTTTGTTTGTTACCACATTAAAATGCATCAGTATAAACATTTACAAATATATCTTTGATTTATTGATTTTTTAAGCCTAACAAGCCCATACAAAAACAAGTTAAGCATATATGCTGAATGTCTTCTTATCACCTAGTGAAAGCACTTAGAGTATCAGTGCCCACTTAAAACAATAAAAATAAAAGTTTAATTTTAAGATGATGGAAACACCCAGGGTGCAATAATTAACCAACTATATAATTAGCAGATATGTATTGATATAAAATGTTTATTTGGTTTATCTTAAAACATAAGGACTATGTCTAAAAAAAAGAAAAGATATTTTAAAAATTAGTTATAAGCAATTTTTACCTTTTTATGCATGAACTTCGTCAACGTTGTCTTGTTTGCAAAAACAAGACCAATTTAAATCAAAGCAACACACTTAATAAAATACCAAATAAAACTAAATTCAGTCAACCTTTTAATAAACCATTCAATTAAAAATTAAGACTGCACTAGCTGAAACTATTAGCTTGAATACGACAAATCAATCGTAATTTTCTAACAACAGCTACATATCCATAAAATACGTAATTATAATTCAATACATGTTTAATACAAGAAAGCCTAAATGGCACAGATATTTTACAAATCAATGCGCCTTCCAAGATGTTTTAATTGCCATTCCTGTCCTTTGAATCATGATTCCTAAAATTTGAAACAATTGTCATTAATATTCGAATTTTGCTTAAGTAAATTTGTACCTGATATTGTTTGGTTTTTAAATTACCTGCTTCTAGAGCGAGAGATGGAACGGCTCCTGGTCCTATTCCTTGATCTTGATCTTGAGTGGCTCCTAGAGCGGCTCCTCCTGTCACGAGACCTGGAACGAGATCTACTTCTTGAAATTGTCCTATAACAATGAAAAGGAATCAGTTAGCTACAGAGTAAAATGAATGATTAAAATACCAATTTTCCTACTTTTAAAAATCAGTATTTCTTAACTGCTCGATAAAAAAAAACTTCTCTCCATTACTTTCACTACTCTTAAGGATTAATGCGATTTTAACTGCTCTTCCTTTGTTTGGATAAAACTTTATTAACCAAATTAATTATTATTATGATTTATAAATTATTGTAAAAGAAAACAATAATATTGTCATGTGATTTTCAAAACTCACTTATTTATGAAAAGATGTGTGGGTACTCATTGTCTTTAATTCAGCGTGTGTGACGTACAGACGTGGTAGAGAAATGCGAAGCATTTTGTCCTTTCGTTCCACGCAGTCTTGTTCTTACGATCAGTCAAAATTGTCTTATCCTGTGCTTTCCCGCCATCATCGAACACGACGAACGATTACATTACCTCAAATTCCCAAACGAACGCGATCCGCCGACAATCCTAAGAAAAACTTTGTCCTGATAATCGGAGAAAGCACAGGAAAGATAGCAGCTAGGCAAATTGGAGACGTAGAGACGAGGAGAGCAGAAGTATGTAGTAGACCCGGTTTCCTTTCATGCTACTCATTATGATTTTTTCAAAAAACTGAGAGAAGAGTGTTCAAACCCATAAACACCCGGGAAGTGAAGGAGGAAGAGACCAATCAATTTCTACGATGTGAGAGACATATGTGTATACACGAGGCAGCTCAGCCGCTAGTCCTACAAACCATATTATCGTTTTTATATGAACTTTTTTCAAAATAAAAATCATTTCTCCTATTTTTTCTTTTAACTCTCCAAAAACAAATTTTTTTGTAATAATTAGCTGTAGAAGTTTGAATATTCATCAAAAAATTTCAGGAATTTATTTTTGCGGGTAATATTCAAAATTCTACTACTCAAAATATGCGAGAAAGTTTAAAAATTAAAATAATATTTAAAAAAATATAAATCGTAGAATTTTGATTAAAACCTAAAAAAAGAACAAAAAGAAAAGGATTATTAAGGGAATCTGTATAACACTTTACCTGCGTCTACTCCTTTTATTGTATTTTGAGCAATCGCGAGCATAATGCCCTCTCTCGCCACATTCATAGCATTTATCCTCAGGGTGGAAGGGCCTTCCTCTTCTCATTGCCCCTCTCCTTCTCGCTCCATTTGACATTTCAACTCTTACCCTCCTTCCGCAAACATTCCTGTATAAAGAGATACAGAGATATTAATAACGTTTCAAATATTTTAAATTGATGAATTCATCATGCTAACCGCCCGTCAAGCCCTCGGACAGCATCTTCAGCATCCCTCGCATCCTCAAACTCAACAAAAGCAAAACCTGGCGGATTCCTTGCTATCCAAACACTCCTAATTGGTCCATAATAAGCGAACGCATCTTCTAAATCTTGCTTATTGGCAGAACTACCTGTAATAATAATAAGAAAACATTAAAAAACAATATGATGTGTAAAATAAATTCAAACTTACCTAAATCGCCGATATATATCTTGCAGTCTGGATTTGAATCCCTGTACCTCGACATGTTTATTCCTAAAATATACAAGAATAATTAATATCTAAGTAATGCTTTATTACTTAAAACAATATGAACAATATTGCAGGAAAACTGTCACAGTTAAGTGACAATGGGACATCTTCAAGTAAGGACAAATTTCTTATAACAATGTTAAACATTTTCACTGTTAAAATTTAAAAAAAAATTAATCTGATTTAAAAAAATTATACTTTTTAATAATTAATTATTGTAAATTTTATAGGTGAAATATATTTAACATTACAATGAGTTTCACCTAATGTAACAACTTTGTGGGAGAAATTAGATCAACTTTTTAATAAAAAATTATTTGGAATGCATAGTCCATGGACAGCACTCGTTCTACTGACNAGAGAAAAGTGCCAAGCATCACTGCAAATAATAGGAAACACCTCAAATTTCAGACTTTGAATCATTGTCTTGTATCTGACCAATCAGACATTTTTTGTATAGCATGTCCTATCGTCAATGTTATATATAAATATATGTACACATATTGGGGGCCGCGGTAGCCGAGTGGTTAAGGCGCCAGAATCTCGCTAGTAGATCCTGCGGTCATGGGTTCGATCCCCACCGTCACCTCTGGACTTTTTCTGACGCCTAAAGGGACCGGTGCCCGCAATTGAAAGAAATTGACATAGCACTCATCAATAGAAGGAGCGGGATCAGATCTCAGCGACCCTGAATTTGGTCTCAACCCCCTTCAAAAATGAGTTTCTTCGATGGAAGAACACCGGGCACACCGGGGGCTCAAATTCACACTTGTGTTGCAAGCCCCCCCCCCCCAAAAAAAAGGAGCCAGGGATAAAGTACAATAAGCTGTACAGCTGCAGTGCTCAGGAAGGAACTCCTCCAGTTCCTGGTATCCATTGTAAAAAAGTAAATAAATAAATAAAAAATTGTACACATATTTCAGGGTTTTTTTACAAAAAGAAAAATACAACATATGGTAACGTGCATAAAGTTTATTCCATGCAGGAAAACGGTATGTACATACAGATATCAACAGCACCTATGTACGACGACGATACCAATGAGAAAAAAAATTATTAGGGGCCAAAAAAAGATTCAACAGTTAGAACATGATTAAACATGTTGATGACAATAGAAGATGATGGTGATGAATTAGCAAAGTTCGCTTTCTAAATATTGTTATTTGAGGCTGCTTTGTCTGGCTTTTCAACTCCTGGAAATTTTATTGGAGAGCATTCGTTGCTTTCTTCCACTTTTATACTATTCTGTTTTTGCCTTTCAACTTTTGAACTAATTGAAAGATTTCTCCAAAAATCGTTATTGTCCATTCCTGTTTTACTTCTATTTCTTTTTACTTCTTTTTCATCCTCTTCAGTAGTCGATCTCGTCGAGAACTTAACTACCAGGGCAACCACAGATGAGTGAAAGCCAGATAACAAAAGCCTACTGTAGATCAATAAAAGGATTCAGTACATTTGCTAAGTTCTCAAGCCTCGGTGAGGAAATTCACTCACCAAAAGAGGTGTGCAAAGAAACACCGGTCAAAGTGTTTAGTCTTAAAGGAAAAAGAGCACTTTAGTTATAGCTATAGGTTTATAGCTCATGTGTAGAAGTGCCAGGGTGTGGATCTGGAGATCGTGGGTTCGAGTCACACTTGTGACACTAATTTTTAGTTTTTCAACTTAAACTTGGGGATAAATGAGATGGCCACAAGGCCTTCTGCACCTCAACCTGAGTAGATTTGTAGTGCTCCTTTGTTTTTTTAAAACTCACTGTCCAGCTTCAGGTTGTTAATCAACCTCCAAAGAGCCTTGCCAGCGGCTTCTTAGGGTACGATCTTCCTTGAGTCTTTTCCCAGAGAAGATCGCTATATTCCGGGAATGTATTCCTAGCCTTTTTCTTTCCCTGGCGCAGTGTTCAATTGCTATGATTTCAGACTCGAAAATGTAGCATATTTACCTAAGTTTAAAGTCATTTCAGTCTTTGGATTCATCCCTAAGGCCTAGTACGCACTGGGATTCTTTGAGTCGTCTCTTTGAATCTCTGGAGAGTCCGGGCTGCCTGACTCATCGTTGCGATGAATCCGGTGTGTGCAGGCTAGCATTTTCAGACTTTTTTTAATCCCATCCGATGTGGGATTCTTTGACTCAATGTTGCACATTTGCCAGTGCGGACGTGAATCGGAACAAGTGCTCGTGTTTCATTTGTTTAGTTGACGTGCTAGTGAGTGTTTTCTTGAAGATTTTGATACTGTCTTGTACAAAGGTATGTTGTGGAGTACCGAGTTGACTTTACAGTCTATTGTGGGATGTATCATTCACGGAATACAGAATTGGGAATTGAGAAGCCAAACATTGAACGGTTTAACCCAAAAATTCAGTGTTTCCGTCGCCGAAATTGAGAAAAAATGCACACTTTAAAATGACAGTTTTTCAATGCACTTCTGATTGGATGCACTACGTACAATGCAAAAAGAGCAAGGGAAATTCCTGAGAGCTAGTTCCCCGTCATTTTTGCAGGCACTGATGAATGTGAATCTTGGTCTGGACATGATTCTTTGTCGCGGAGCAGAGTCAGGGCTGCGTCACAACAATGAATCTACGCAGCCCCGACTCTGCCCCGCATCAATGAATCTACGCAGCCCCCACTCTGCCCTGCAGCATGAATCGATTCAAAGAAAATCAGTGTGTACTAACTAGGCTTAAAAGACTCCAGCACCCGTGCGACTCAACCATACTTCACATAAAAATAATAAACCAATTATAACAACTATTTTGGTTAATAGGACCACCTAAAATGTACATATATTACAAAAATTATGATTTTATGTTCAATGACTTACAACATGGAGTTCACATTTTAGACAAAGCAGTTTTTTTTTGCTGAGTGTATGTATCTATTCATCATTTTTGCTTATTGTATTTATTTTTGTAGTTAAGAAATAAATAAAAAATTAAAGATTAAAAAAATTGTTATAATTGTTCTGAACCTAGCTTGGTCAATAAACAACCCTTAATATAGGAGAGAAAAATGCCTTAAGCTTCAAAATGCTCACTAACCTGAAATGGCTATTAAAAACTAAATATATAATTGAATGTTTTATATCTAATTGTAAAAGCGTGGTAAATTAAAAAAAAATAAATAAAAATAAAAATAAAAAATAAAATAAACATTGTAAGTAAAGGTGGAGTTAGTAAAATCTCTCTTGAACAAGGCTGAAAGAAAATTTAATGGGCTATAAAATGGGAAAGTAAATGGAAGAAAAATCAATGGCAGTAAGAAGCCTAAGTAAACGCGCAAGCTCGGAAGTAGGCGTATGTATTTTCATTTATTAGAGATAATTAAACGATCAAATACCTGTTTCTGCCTTTCTTCGAAACTGTTCACAAGATCTTATTAAGCTCTAACTCTCTCGGTGAAAAGTGGAAAAAGCGATTCGCCTCGGTTTTCCCGATCAAAAGAGTCGCTGGAATTTGTTTACGGCGTCGGGGTTTATCAGATCTCCTTCTCTTCCACATTCGCTTCGCTACGGTCAGTGGGGCGGGACCTGGATGCGCTCTCTACTCCATTCTTCAAGAATCAATGTGGAATTGTGGAATTATCCGCAACTAAATTCGAACGAAAAACGGCTGGACGTTTCAGTATACTGTATAACTGTTGAAATGTATATACAAGAAAAATAAGTGGGAATAAAGAACAATAAAAAAAAAAAAAAAATTTTCTTTGAATATTTTTTTTTAAAACTGTAAAGTATTATTATTATTACCATCCTAAATACTGACAATTATTAATTCATAATCTTAACTTACATGATTTTAATGGTTCATTCCTTAAAATTCAAAAGCTATTTGATAAACACTACCAATGAACAAAAGTTTGTGATATACTTCAATTAATTTAAGGTTTTAAGTTGAGATAAAAAAGTCAGGTCACGAGCGGGATTCGAACCCACTACCTTTGGCTTGATATGCCGCTACTCTACCACTTGAACTAACGTGACTTCACGAAAAATAGTGATTTTGTGATATACTTTTTTACCCTTTTTTTAGCTTCATTAGGAGTTCCTCAAGGTTCTTGAGAAATGACCTTTATCTTTAAAGAGAACATTAATTTTTTAATTTTTTTTATCTTGTACAGTAATTGCATTTTTTAATCCTCTCGTGACAAACTTTCCTGCTGGTGTTAAAAAAAAATACTTCTTTCCTACTTAATTTTCAAACTGGATACTGCCCGGGTAGGAAAGAATCTAAAATTGTGCAAACATACATCACATAGCATAACAGAGTACATACTGACTTACTGCTGTTCTCATAAACAATTCTTACATCGAATGGCATGCATTTTATTTATTATTAAATTTTCCCTCATAATTCACCTTTGTCAGTCCCATAATTTGTCCAAGACTATTACTTTAATATGAGTAAATTTAGTAGTAAGTCATTCAAACATTATTTTTTTCCCTAATTCATAATACAGCATGGTTTTGCTAAGACTTTCAGAGAGTTCTTGATAAGGGGGACCATTTCTTATTAATTCATAAACTTAATTTATAGGGTTTTCATGGCTTATTACTTAATTGCTGCAAAAGTTATTTGAATGAATATTAAATGAGAAAAAGTTTGTGGTATATTTTCTGCCCTTTTCTTAGCTTCAAGAGGTACAATTCAAGGTTCAATCCTCAGCCCTTTACTTTTCTTAAATGATATTGCCCATTCTCTCAAGCCATTAGCCTTTATAATTGCAGAGGATATACAATTTTTTATCTTTATAATCTCGTACAATGATTGCCTTTTTCAAATTAGATTTTCAAAATCTAGTCTTTGTGTATTTTTAGCAATGAAAACTATTTGAAACTCGGATAGGTTTGTTTCCTTTCTCACTAAAATATAATGGATATATAGAAAATACATCATTTTGAACATTGAAAAGGTCGTAAATTGGAAAGTTAATAAACTATTGAAAAGGGCCTTTCTAACTGTAAAACCTTTCATCATAAAGATTTAACTTTCTAATTTTATGAGTGGTTTTGTTCTTTTGTAAAAAACTAGGTTTTACTAAACAGTTAAAATGTCAATTTTTCTACTTCTAAGACCCATTTTGCTAAAAATAAAATAAATAAATAAAAACAAAAGTAGATGATTTAGACATTATTATTATTATTTAACCCAGACATGGTGGTATGTTAGTTACATCATGTACAAAATATAATTTTATATTCTAAATATAAGTTTACGTGGACTACTAATGGTGTGGAAAACAGGGTCTGTGTTGCTGACACTTACAAAAATCACACAAAATTAATCCTTAAGGTCCTAGTTTCGAATCCAGCGATCCTTCATTCAAAGCCGACATACAAATGAAATTTTTTTAACACCAACTAATACCCCGTACTTTTATTTATTTAAAAATACCCTGATGACCTCTGGGGATATGTCCTCTGCAGTTGCAAACACTCGGTTAGAAAAAACATCCTATTTTCCACTTTATTATTAATTTTAGTCAACTGGTGCATATTTTTTGTTTTGTTTATTTAAAAAATAAATAAATGAAAAAATAGCCAGAAACTGGTGCACATTGTTTAGCTTATTGGTGAATACATACTTGAAAATATAAAGTTCTATCCTCGCCCTTTACTTTTCTTAATTTTTTCAAATGATATTGCCCAATCTCTCAAGCCATTAGCCTTTACAATTGTAGAGGATACATTTTTTATCTTTATAATCCCGTACTATGACTGCCTTTTTCAATCTTCTTTTGAGAAGCTTTTCCTGCTGGTGTAAAAATAAAACCTTTTACCTCATTCTCACTTAATTTTCAAACCGGATACTGCCAGCGTGGAACAAAATCTGAAATTGTGAGTACGTACATCAAACAACATAAGAGGAGACGAAGAAACTTACTGCTGTGCCCAAAAACAATTCTCAAATTGAATGGCATGCCTATTTTATTTATTTAACAATACCCCGAGGGTTGATATGACCTCTGCAGTTATGAACACTTGGTTAGAAAAAACATCCTTTGCTTCATTAGTAGAATTACAACTGAACTAATACTGGAAATATCTAGTCATTCATATTTTCCATTTTTTTAGCCAACTGGTGCACATTTTTTGTTTTGTTTATTTAAAAAATTAGCTAGAAATTGGTGCATATTTTTTAGCCTATTGGTGAGCACATGCTTGAAAATATGAAGTTTTCAATATAAATACTTTGATTGAATATAAAAAATATATTTTGCATTGTATAAATTCACTTTTCCACATCCTAAATGTATTTGTTAAATGTAAATAATGTTTGTAAATCCCAGGCCTGATCTCAATAAAGATCGAAACGTTGGCACGATAAAGAAAATGTTTTTCTGAAACCTACATCACACCAGACCGCATCTCACGATTTCTGAATAATAATTTTCAATATAAGTTAAGTTATATCTTTACTTTTGCAGCTAAGAATTTTATTTTTGTACTGAAATTTTGACGTCTAGTAAGTTTTCTTAATGGATTTTAATTGTTATGTATTTATTAAACAGTCTATATTTTCCTTCTTCAGTTTTTGTAGTTTCAAAAAAAGGAAACCATTTGAAAGTTAAGCGCTTTAAACTTTGTCAATGGATCGATTGTCATGGAAAGAGACATCAGAGAGTAAAAATCGGATCGATATTTAATTAGGGACCCTTCGGCCAGGTTAATAAAAGTATAAATAATAAAGTTTTGAAATTTTCTCTACGGCTTTAACGCCTCGAAGGGTGCTATTCCACATTCCACTGGGGTGTCGACCGAACACCTTTGCAGATCTTTTGCCGAGCCGTAGAGAAGGCCCAGGGAGCCCCTTTTGGTGACTTTACTGGTTCTCCTGTTGTTTAATAACAGTGCATCTGGCCGAGTTGAGACAGTTACTCGCGGTCTTGGGGTCCATTTTGATGATAAACGCAAATAAATCATTTTTTCGAGGTAAACTGATAAAAAAATAATTTAGCTAGTAGCATTTTTTTTTGTTTTTACTAGAAGATTGTCTGCTAATAAACCTGATATGGACACAGACAAAGCATGATTTCTAGAAATAAGATTTTTTTAAACAACTAAAAATTGCCTTCTAAAAAATACTCGTTTATTAAACTAAGTTTGAGTAAGTAGAGAAATATATGTTTGATGGATTTGGGTTTCCCAACATTGAGGTAGTTACAATAGAAGTGAGATGGAGGGTCTAGGTATCGGAAAATTCTTGCTATGTTGGGAATGATAGATTATTTTTGGTCATCCCAACTCTTTAGATTAAAAATTATCTGCTCAATTTCATCCTTTCCATAGCTAACTTGTCAAGCGAGTTAATTGGTTTTTTAAAATTTTCTTTAAAAAAATCGTGGTTTTAAGTCGAGTTCGGGCCACGTAGTAACCGTTACACAGTCCAAGTTATGGGTATGCTGCGGCCTACCATCTGCAATCTACAGCAGTTTATGGCTGGAGGTAGAGGTCTACTGTGATGTATTGCTAGAGACGATTGATTTACTCTCTTTACACACTACAGAACCATTATTTAACGGTTTCATTGATAAGTAGTTGAGTCCAGATGGTTCATATTATCAGGGTGAGCTCTAAAACGGTCATTAGAAGGCGAGAATAGCTTAGTGTACGGACAGAATGGAAGAGGAGAGCGGCGATATTCCTCATTGGAAAGAGCATGAGTGAGAGCAAGGATATTGCCAAGCAAGCAAGCAAAAGTTCAGGTCTCTCACCCTCTGGGACATTCAAAAGTTTCCAGTTTTAGATGATGAATCCTAATAATTAGCTGTTTTTAATTGAAAACCCCACATTGAGGATGTGATATTTCCTGACGTGCAGGAAAAAAAATGAAGGAATTAACACAATTAACCGATCGCATAGTGTCTACGGTGAATTTATTTTATGAGCTCACAGAAGATCCTGTCAAGTTCAAGGAAATATTTTCTGATGACCATGTATACATTCGATTATTTGCTTGACAAAATTCAACAAAAGTTGACCAAGAAGTGGACAAATTTTATTAAAAAAAAACCAATCACACTTGCTAAATGTCTTGCAGTAACTTTAAAGTTTGTATGAACATTAAATAAATGTAAAGCTGATGGATAATTATATGATATATAAAACTATAAAAAAAAATTTATTATTCATTTTAATGAAACATTAAATAAAACTGTGTAGTTCTATTAAGAATATTTTTAATCTCACATCATATCTAGAAAACTGCAGAACATTTCTCCTGAATCATTGTTTCCAAAATTACACATTTTCGTAACTATTGTGGGCCGGATAGAAAAGTGAGTGGCGAAATCAAACTTAGTTGATTTCATCCCTTTGCTCGATATTGGAAACATGCTGCACTCTGTATGCCTACCCTACAAAGCAAGTGTTTTTTTTCTGCTGCATTGCTCCAATCTGTCCATACACTAAATCTCGACATCCTGCATCAGGTTTTTCACTATTGGAGAGGCATCGAGTAGGAAGATAATTATTTGCAAATCACCAGCTCTCTTGGATGATTGAAGAATGGGAGTTCTCTGTATAGACGAGTGCTGATTTGATTTGTGGATATCAGATGACCATGTATGGAAAACACTTTGCTGCATGTGCCATGTGTGTCACAGCCTTTTTAAAAAAAGTTATGGTGTGGGGTAAAATCAACATCCAGTACCAAACTGAGTACCACACAGAATATAGTCCCATTCACTCCATTTATTATAAAAATTCTTATGTCTTATAGTTAGTAATGAAAATTTTTAAATATATTTAATGTTAAATTTTTTCCAGGTTTCAAGGTAAAAAATAATTTTTTTCAACTGGCGTATGAGGCAGTGAGGAAGATGCTGCTGACAACGAGTGATGGTCAAGCAATAAAAGAAGTGACGCTTTTCTACAGTGTGTTTTCATGTATTTTGCTACCGATATTCTGTGCTATATTATACTTTTCCGAATTGTATATGAATTTTGGAAAAAGGACATTTTTGCCAGTCATGATGATAATCGTCGTCATCGAAGTCCTCAAGAGGTGGTTCCACCATTTTGTGTACGAGAAGGATTTCACTGTTGTCAACAGAAGAAACACGTCCAAAGATGGCTTCCTGAAACGATTCGACGTGCCGGAGTACACAAAAATTGCGCTCAACGTATTCGTCGGTACTGTCGTCTTTTTTGTAATTGCCATCCTGTACGGAGCTAGTCTTGTCCAGTACCATGAGCAGACATTGATGTTCGCCGCTCTTATGAGCATACTTACGTTTTTCCCGATATGCCTACACATCGGAAGGCCGTTTGTGAAAGCCTTCCTCCTACGTAATCCACCGCAGAATATGTTTCAAACGATGCTTTATCAAAACGTGGTTTTTACGCTTACTGGTGCTTGGTTAGGTGCGTTTTTAATACCACTGGACTGGGACCGACCATGGCAAGTATGGCCTGTGCCTTGTTCATTTGGTGCTTTATTAGGTTACACGTGTTCTCATTATTTAACACTAGTTAAATATTTTGTATTTGGTTCATATAGTGTCTTTTTCAAAAAGAAAAAGTAAATTAAATTTTGAACAACCTAGTCTTAAATGTTTTACATTGTAAATTTTGTACATTGACTAATTTATATAAAACAATTTTTTTAAATTTTAAAATCTTAAGAATTAGATTGTAAGACCAACAATCACCTAACTTAATGAATTTTCAACTGTGAGTACTGAATGTTTAGCATAAAAACCTTAATCAGGGTGAATTGTTTCTTAAATTTGAGTAACCTTACATAAATTTTATAAGTAAACAAAAAACAAGCATTAATTTATTACTAAACAGCAAATGTTTGTAAAATTGGAAAAATATACTTTTAGAAGAGGCTCTTTTCAAGTGGAAAATATATATATATATAAATATAGGTAGTATTATTACTGTATTTTTGTCACTGTCTTCATGGTCCATTAAAAGTATGTAAGCACAGTACGTAAGCTGCAAAATAACGTTTTAATAATTATATAAAATTTTTACCCAAAGTTAATTGTCGAATTAATTGTTTACCTCTTCCCAGAATGTAGCAAATCAAAGCCTTCGTTGATTTCTTCAAATTTTAATTCATGGGTGACAAAGGAATCTAGATCTATCTTCCCTTGTAAATAATCTTCTACAAGCTTTGGTACACTATCTCTGCTCTTCCATCCTAAACAATTATTACAATTGTATCACAACATGTGTCTAAAGCAGTAGAAAATCATAGATATAAAAGTTTTCAAAGATGTCCTGACTAGGGAACAGATATTTTTTTGGGTTTACGTATTTTTAAAAAGCCAATATTGACAATTTTAAGACAAATATTCAGTTTGTTATTATAACAACAAGCACTGAAGAAAGGAGCCAGATTGGTTGAAACAATTCACTATTATTTGTACGAATCAGTTATAAAAAAAAAATTGATATTACTTTAACTATTTGAAAATAAAAAATATTTGGGTTAAGAAGTCCAACAAGAACTTATAAAAATAAACTTTCCCTTCAATCGCCAAGAATGCATATGATACAATTGAATATTATCAAAAAAAGTGCGAAAATTAAAAAAATCTAGGTTGAGACGAGTTGGTGTTTTGGGGACCTGAAGTCACGAGAGTTCAAGTGGTGGAGCACCAGGGTTCTAACGCGAATGTTGTGGGTTCAAATCCCGCTTGTGACACTAATTTTTATCCCAACCACACTTTGTATAAAATTAATTAATCAATTACTTGTAAATAAAAAATTACTTCTGTTAAGAGGACCAACAAAAATATGACATATTACAACTTTCTAGTGATGTTTTATGACACTTTGAAGCAATTTAAAACATTTTTTTAATAACATATTTTAGTATATTATCGTCTTTTTAACATTCATCTAACAATTTGTGATTTGTACATATTAAAAAGTAAAAACATCTTTTTGCAGAAATCTGGCTGCAAACACCGTTAAAAGTTAAAGCTTAATATGCACTGGAATTCTTTGTTCTGACTCTTTGCCTAACAACAGTGTCGCTCCGGAAATCATGTCCCCGTCAAGTTTGAGTCTGAGCCATGGTGAATGAGGCTGCATTCTCAGGGTTGCAGTCGTACTTTACGTAAAAAAGTGCTAACAAAAAACCACCACATTGGTGAATTCGTGGGATATTCAAGGATCTTCTTGACACACTAAGGTTGGAAGATGGAATGGGTTTCCGAAATTTTGAATCTGCTTTCCACATTATAACAAAAGCGAAGAAAAAAAAAAAAATGTGAGAATGGTTGTCCACTCAGTTTGATTCATGTTCGTACTGACATCGAGTAAAGAATCCCATTTAAGACGGGATTCAAAAAATACTAAAACACAACATACCAGGACACGAGAAAATGAATCCCAGATGCAACTCCACGACAGAGTCCGAACAAAGAATCCCTGTGCATACTAGGCTTAAAGAATGGCTCGTAGACGGCTTTGATTCCCCTTGGCTTTTTTTTCACGCTACCTTTGTACACCTTTGACTCTATCATGCAAGTTCATAAGGCCAATACAATATGATTTATACAAGTAGGTCAGTTTTATTACAATTTAGATAGTTTGTCAAAACTGAAAAAAATATGTGAAAAAATAAATGCTTTGATGTAATAAAACTTCATTACTATTACAAAAATGCAATAGAATTGAAACATTAAGCTCAAATTACTGTCAATATTTAACTTATGACAATTAAGGCACGACAATGTGATTGATATTGTTTTTTAAATTAATTTACACCAATGATGTAATAGTTCATGTAATAATTTATTATATATCAGGGGAGGGGGATCAGTTATTTAGAGTATGAATGTATTAAAACACTAAGGCAATAAAATAAGAAAGAAGGTGCTGCTGCTTATAAATTCTGGAAAGGAAAGCTGGACGCAATGGTTTAGGAGGACATAGCCAATCATCACTCATCACTACAAGGGTCCTAGGTTCAAATACAGTGGCCCTGCATTTGAAAGTAATAAACGTAAATACAAATTTTTTTTCACCCTGAAAATACTGGCACCCCGAGGGCATCCTCGATTCCAAGAGCTAAAGAACACCTCTGACAACTTGTAGGAAAAACTTCAAGACCAGTAATTAATTTACACCCTAAATAAATTTCAAGTTTTAAATTTGGCCGATTAAAATCAGTTGATGTGTAAAATCAGTGTTTAGTACATACAAATCGATTTTAAGACCTGATCGTAAATGTTTCAATTTTGAACATTTAAACTAACAAGCCATTCCCAATAAAGAATGAAATTACTTATTATGATTATTATTTTTAATATTTTCTTGTTTTATAGTACATGTTTTACAAAAAATAAATACCTATTTTACCCAAAATAAAATATTTGTTAAATAATTATGTTCATATTTTTTCAGTTTTAAACAGAAAAATCTGCTCCCTAATGATAACTAAAATATCAATAAAAATGTGCAATGTAAGTAGATTTTTTAATCTATTTTTATTAAAACAAGAAAAAAAAACATATTTTTTTCTAAATTATCAAATTATTTTCTGTTTCAAATAAATTTTTAATTACCTCCAAATGCAGATCCCTTCCATGTACGGCCAGTGACAAGTTGAAAAGGTCTTGTTGAAATTTCCTGTCCTGCTGCTGCGACACCGATAATTACAGATGTGCCCCATCCTTTATGACAGGCTTCAAGAGCGCTCCTCTAAAAGCTTAATTAATTAATATCAAATACAGAGCAGACTGATCTGACCTACCATCGTCATGACGTTTCCGACGCATTCAAATGTAAAGTCTAAACCTCCGTCAGTCATGTCAATAAGGACCTCGTGGATCGGTTTATCAAAATCTTTGGGGTTGATACATTCTGTACAACCTAATTTCTTGCCTTAAAAATAATCGTAATAATCCATGTGTATTTAGTAGTCATAATTGACCATATTAATTATTTTAATTAATTATACTTTTTATTTAAGGTCTTTGTTGAGATGAAAAAGTTAGGGTCACAAGCGAGACTTCGATCCACACGGACTTTGAAAATACGACAGAAAGAGTGAAAATTTGAAAGGTTGTAGGTTGAGATGAGGAATTGGTGTCCGAGTGGATCGAAGTCACAATAGCTCAAGCGGTTAGAGCAGTGGCATATTGAGCCGAAGGTCGTTGGTTCGAATCCTTTTCATGACACTAGCTTTTTCATCTCAACCAAGACCTTATATAAAAAGTATATTTAACTAAAATAATTATAACGATAAATTAGTTAAATTTAACAGTATTTTTCACCTGCAGCGAATTTATCTGGGTTTGTGTCAACACCTATGATTCTAGACGCGCCTGCAGCTTTACATCCCATTGCAACAGCAAGACCAACTGCTCCCAAACCCCAGATCGCACAGTTTGAACCACTTTCCACTTTAGCTGTGTTCAAAGCGGCACCGTAACCAGTGGAAACTCCACAACCCAACAAGCAGACTTTATTCATCGCTGCTTTTTCATTAACCTATCAAAAAATTACACTAAAATACAACAGTATAAAAATTTATTTGTTTTTCACCTTTGCAATTGATATTTCTGCGACGACAGTGTACTCTGAGAATGTGGAACAACCCATGAAATGGAAAAGCTGTTTTCCATTACAAGAAAATCTTGAAGTACTGTCAGGCATTAAACCTTTTCCCTTAATATATGTAAAAATTAATTTCATTTATTTTTTTATAAACTAAAATGTATTACAAATACCTGTGTGGTTCGGATTTTGCTGCAAAGGTTTGTTTTTTGAGATTTGCAAAACTTACATTCTTTGCACTGAGGGATGTAAAGTGGAATGACATGGTCACCTAAACAGCAGAAAATCTGTTTTATAAAATGTAAAATTATGAATTAAAAAAAAAAAATTATATTACCAGGCTGAACAGATGTCACACCGTCTCCAACGCTTTCGACAACACCTGCCCCTTCGTGCCCAAGGATGCAGGGAAATAATCCTTCTGGATCGTGTCCATCCAAGGTATAAGCGTCGGTATGACATATGGCGGTGGTTATTATTTGAACCCTGACTTCGCCTGCTTTCGGCGGCGCGACTTCAACAGTTTCAATGCTAAGTGGTTGCTTGGGAGCCCAAGCGACTGCAGCTCTGCATTTAATGGTCTATAAAATATATCATAAATAACCAAAAACTTACTCGAGCTATGAAAGTCGCTTGAAAAATTTAAACAAAATATTTTAAAATTTGATGTAGTAATATGATATATTAAAATTAAATCTTTCAGGGTTTAAGGAGTATTTATTAAGAAAAAAAAGCTATTTTCAAATAAAATTATCAAAATGTCATAAAAAAATTATTATCACCCTTAGTATTAGAAATTTTATCTTTTAGATATTAAATGACCAACAAATCAAATACCTAGATATTTAAGATATCCACCAGTGGATAATAATACGCACTATTTCTAATTTAGTAAAACTTTTAGTTTAATAATGGAATTAATTAATAATTACCTAGGCACTTATTTGTTGGTGGGGATAATATGCAACAAGTAAAATATTTATGTAGTCCACTAGGAGTTGGCCTCTTTACAACCTTGCGAACAATATTGGTCTATTGTGCAATCTTATTATTTAGCGTTAAGCTTAAGAGGCTTTTTATGAGATACCAAAGCTTTATAAAAGCCCATCATATCCTTAAGGCCTTGGCTTTTCCTCTTCGAGGAGTAGGAATCTCAGCCTGCATAGGCCTTCGCACCAACAGACGATTTAGCTGTTTCTTCTTCTTCCTGGCAATGTCTGCTGTTTCTGCTGCGCTGAGTCTAACATGCATCTAAAGTTTGCGATGATGTCATAAGTTTATCAGTTTTGCCGTTAGATTCTGTTATAGTCCTTTTTATGCAATTTTTTTACATGCCTCTATTCTGGAATAAAATCCCATTGAACCAAGCACTGCTAGAATAGTTTATTCTGCAGACTTGAAACGATCAGTTAAAATAATTTTCTTATAGGGGCTTGTTCTAGAGTTTAAAACGTCATCTTGCGTTTCTTTGAGAACACATCTGGAAAGAGTCATTCCTAGCATCCCAACGAGGATCAATAACAATATTGGAAAAAGTGAAAAGTGTTTTGAAAGCTAAGAAGACCATAAGGTCAATAGGAATATCTCTTAAGATTGCTTTCTATCGACCAAAGGACCATTCCACCATTTATTCTCCTTCCAGGCCATTTCTACACATGTATCTGCTACTCCAAAATATGCTGAATGAAAATATGAATCTTCAGTCAGCAGTCCTAATATCATTTTTTCCCTAATACATCCTCGGTTTAGTCGTATTTTGTGTATTTAGGTGATTTTTGACAAAACTGATTGAAATTAGAATTGTTACAATAATTATATCCGTTGCCTTGTTGTGCAGTGTTAAAAAGTGAACTAATGAAAATGACTGAATTGGAAGTGATGTTGGATGCGAGAAAGTCTGTTTCTGAGCGTTATCAACATTCCAAGCTGGCTATGGTGAATCCCATGCTCATACGCCAAGTATCACTATTATATTATTTAAAACTTGTTACTTACTATAGTTGGAAAAAATTAAGTACTTTTATTCATTAAGTTGGTTTATAATTATTTAAAAAACCTCTGGGCTATTAATACACCTTGGATCTCTATCAAGAAAGATTAAATTACATAATTAGAAAAACATTAACATTATTACTTTAGACAATAAATGCAACATAATTTATTTAAATAGGCCAGTTTTGTTATGATTAAGATAGTTAAGGATTTTTTTAAGTAAAACCAGAAAATAAAATTACATGAAAAATATAACAATTGCAGTGTTAAAACCAAAAGTTTCCAACAAAAAGCTAATGAAAATGACTGAATTGGAAGTGAAGTTGGATGCGAGAAAGTCTGTTTCTGGCGTTATCAACATTCCAAGCTGATAATTAAATTACATTAATTAGAAAAACATTAAAATTGTTAATTTTGGCAATAAATACGTCATTTACAAGAATAGGTCAGTTTTGTTACAATTCAGATAGTTAATGATTTTTTTTTGTAAAATTTAAAAAAAAATTAAAAAATGAATTGCTTTGATATAATAAAACTGCATTATCATTACAAAAATGAAATATAATTGAAACATTCAAGTCAAATTACTGTCAGTATTTAAATTATGACAATTGATATGTGTCAATATAATTGATGTCACTTTTTAAATTAATTTACACTAATGTCGTTGTAATAGATCGTGTAATAATTTATCAAATATCGAATTTAAAAAAAACAAAAAAACTATTACCTGACCGGCAGTCGACATCTTTTCTTTCTGAACTCAAACGGTTTGGCCTTGCTCGTACTAATCAAACTTGATAGTAAATTCACCTGTTGCTTTGTATTAAGGAAGAAATTTTTCCAAGGGAAATAGGTTTAAGGAAAACGATCGAATTGGAAGCGATGTTGGATGCGACTATGCGAGGATGTTTGATTCTAAGCGCTATCAACATTCCAAGCCGGTTGAATGTTGAACCCAGTGAACATAGACGTAACTAGAGTGGTCATTTGGTTGCCCCCCCCCTCTGTTTGGTTACCAGAGGCCACAATCCTAGTTCTTCAAGAATTTTTATCATTATAATAATATATACATTTTATGGAATAAATCCAATTTACAAAAATGTTTAAATATATAAAATGCAACAGTATATAAAATATAAGCATGCAAACAAAATTGTGTAAAACAAAAATAACAAAACCAAGGAAAAATTAAAAATTAGCAAAAATTTCAGATATTTATTTATAGATATTATTTATAGATATGTATTTTCAGATACAGTATATATATAAAAAATAAAATAAATGATATAACAAAATTATTGCTTATTGGAATGTAAGTTAATAATTAATAGAGGGAAGCTGTTTAACAAAACTATTAAATGATAATAAAAAAATTCAGTTAGGATAATTTATTGGCCATGTCCATTATTAGATAAAAAGGAGAATTGTGTCCATATTTAGTTGTAGATATTCAATTTAAAAAAAAAATTGAATTAGAAATATCTTATGATTTTTCCTTCTCGAAGGTGGGATAATAGGTCATTATGACCTAAAAAATCATAAATATCATAAAAATCATAAGTTAATCTGTTGAGGTCGAAATATAAGAAAACATTAGAAATATTCTAAAATTAAAATATGTAACTATATACTGAAAATATATGAATATGCTGATCAACCAGTTGAGGTTTATTTTTGAATGTTGGCATGGTTTAAAAGAATCCGATAACATAAAATAACAATGTGCTGTCTGCTATAATAAAAGTTTTACAATAAACTGAAAGCTTGGCACGTCATTGTTTTGATTTCTCTTGGACTATACACCTGGTTTCATCATTCAACTATATACTCAAAGACAAATAAACCAGACACTTGTATTTTGTTGTTTATTTCAAACTATATGTTTTATGAAAGCGACTTTCCTTCATGTGGCAGATTTCAGTTTCCTCATGAATCAGTACACATTTACACACAAATAAAACTATTAGTTTTCAATATTTCATCATTTTTATAATGGATGGTTAATTAATTAATTTTTTTAATGTATGAACAGATATCAAATCGGAATGTTTTATGCATAACTGTTTGCACAGTGAGTAGTATGATCTGAAATTTTTTTATTAAGTGACTATTGTCTGTAACTTTTTTATTATAGAAAAAGAAGTATTTATATAAAAGTATCAATATACTTTGAAACATAAATCCTTACATTATGAGAAGAAACTTTCCTTTATGAGGCAAATTTCAGTTTACACATTTATGGATAAATACAACCATTATTTTTCAATATTTGATCATTTTTGACTGGATGGTTAATTAATTTAATTTTTTTAATGTAGGAACAGATAACCAAATTGGAATTTTTTATGCATAACTGTTTGTACAGTGAGTAGTAGGATCTGAAATATGTTCATTAAATGACTTTATTGTCTGTAACTTTTTTATTATAGAGAAATAAGCATTTATATAAAAGTATCAATATACATTGAAACATAACTCCTTATATTATGAGAAGAAACTTTCCTTTATGGGACAAATTTCAGTTTTGCAGATTTATGAATTTTTTTCATTTTTTGATGAAAGTTTTCATTTTTTGATCATTTTTAGACTTGATTGTTATTTTTTTATTTATTTTTTAATGTATGAACAGTCATCAAATCGGAATGTTTTATGCATAACTCTTTGTATAGTGAATAGAGGATCTGAAATAAATTGATTAAATGACTTTATTGTCTGTAACTGTTTTATTATAAAGAAATAAGCTTGTATATAAAAACTGTGATATACTTCAAAACATAAATCAGCTATGTTAAGAAAAGAAAATGTTCTTTATTGTTTCACTAAATTTCAATTTGTTCACAAGGTTGTATACATTCATAAATAAATGAAATAATTATTTTTCTATTTCCGATAAAATTTAGACTGGAATTGCTATTGGTAATTTTAAAACAAACATCTCACAGTGTTTTATTGCCTTAATGTTTGGAAATGTTTAATACAAGTCTCCCCTAGTAAATTAATGTTTGAAGTTTGCATAAAAAATCACTTAAAATTATTTTCATTCAGTCATTTTATGTTTCAGAAGTTAGTTTTAAGATACATTATATCAAGGCATAATTCATCATCAAAAAGGTAAAAGAAGATTAAAATCCCATTTAACACATAAAACTTTCATCGTCCGATGGTTTTCCTGGAAAATGTTAATTTCTATAATAAAATATTAATTATTCTCAGGGGAATAATATCTGGGTCTCTATTGTTCAAGAATGACTTTCCTAGGTACCATAGCTTTTTCGTAGCTATTGCAGGGCAGTTGCATAGGATATGATGTATTTCTCGGTCTCCTCTGGTTTTTCTTCTTTTGTTTTATTTTAACATTTAACAGTTTTTTTTTGTTTTTTTTTCAATCAAAAGATTAAAATTTAGATTTGTACAAGTTTTTCTGATTTAAAAATATTCAGTGCAGTACATGCATTAATTATGGGTTTATATTATTATTAATTATTCTACTAGTACTAATACTATTAATTATTCTTTTTCTTTTTAATTTGATTTCTTTATAAAACACTGCATGAACAGAAGTTGGAATGTTTTGTAGAGCACATTAACGACCTCTTTGTTCTAGTTGGGAGTAACTTTACAGTTCCACCTCTATTGGTGGTTACAACAAATGATGTGACCTGTACTTGTAGTATGTAACCGTCACCATGAGGTTTTAGTCGACCCTCGTTGAAATTATTATTTTTTTTTTAAACAACAATATAAAAAGTAGATATTTCACAAGTATTGCTAGATTCCCTTTCAAGAATGGGTGGCAAGAAGCAGCAGGCTCAGAGGTCTAAGAATAACACGAAGGTAGAGTGAAAATATGTTTTGAGAAAAATTCAATATTCAATGAGACCGTATTTTTTTCAATATATTATTGCATTTCTGTTTTAAGTTATATTTAAATTTATTTATTTTAAGCACCCTACAAGAAAAAATTTGGATGTTTTGCGATCAAACCATCATCTTTTATAAATATATGGAGTTCTGATAAGTTTTTGAATATATACTATATTTCCATTGTATATATGCAAATTTTTAATTAACAATTGAATTTTTATGTTGTTATGTTTTGCCTAGAAGTGTTGTCATTTTCAGATTGGACTTATGTCGCATTGGAATCATTTCCGGATTTTTATGTCAAATTGGCTTCAGAGGTATTTCAATAAAAAAATGAGGGTTTTGTTTGTTTTTGACTTGTAACAAATTATTATTGATTAACAATTTGGAATTTCATTAAGTAAAAGTTTTTATTGCCAATGTTTAGCATTCTGGCTTTACAAGGCAGCTTCTTTGGACCACTACTTTACCTTATCCCAATATTGTAGGCAGCATTTTTACTCAAATCATCAATGATGTTTCAAACCAACAGTGTAAAATATACCTGGGTATCAATTGATAATATCTCCAACTAAAATTTATACAAGGAAATAGCATATGGTGAACCACTGGCGAAATGCTGAAATTCACCTGACTGAACAAAACAGTTCAGCTATGTGAAATGGTTAACGATTTCTTTTAAAGGCCTATGCTTGTAGTTTTTATAGAAGACAAAAACCTTTTAAAATCTTCAAAAATATAATGAAATGATTTATTTTGTGAGATATCTCCTTGAGGTCTGTGGGCCGATAAATGTATATGCCTGGTCTTCATTCTTGCTATTTGATTGCCGTTTCACTATTTGCTATATTTGGTGAAAAAATAACACAGAACAAGCACTGGTAAAATGTTGAAATCTGACAGAAACCATGAGGCAGACTAGGATGATCGTAAACGACTAAACTGTAGTTAAATATTTTGTCCATTTATACACAAGGTGGTTGTTTTTGTGTTTTTTCTTAGTGACCTTGATCATCCTGGTTTGCCAATTTTTGCTGTTTGAAGTCAGTGGCACTACCAAGGGATGTTAGACCAAACCGAAGAAAAATTGGGATAAGAGTCCAACATGACTCAAATTTCTTGTTTATTTTAGCCTTCTAGCAGTGGGAGGTCTGCTGAACACATTACAAACATACCTGCAACGCCTGGCTTTTCCAGTTTTAAGACGAACCAAACTTTGAAATATGCGGGAACCCTTCCTGACGTCATTGATCCCAGTATGGATCCAAGTTTTCAGATGGTGTTTAAAAAGATGAACAAAAAGGATGCCACTACACGTCATAAAGTAAGAAATGGGAAATTATTCGAGTTATGTCTGAATGATTTATTGTTTATTATAAAAATTTTAGGCTCTGCTAGAATTTATTGCATTGTGTAAGGCAAGTGAAACGGACATTGTCACAAATGCTCTTCCATCATGGGTTCGCATATACTCCAGCTTGGTTGTTGATGTAGAGCATAGAATAAGAGAAGCAGCTCAACACGCTCATAGGGCCATTGTTTCTAAAGTCGGCCGAAATTTGGCACCCTTTATAAAACAGGTCGCCCCACTATGGTTCATATCGCAATACGACACCCATGCTCCTGCAGCATCAGCCGCATCTCTTGCATTCAAGGTTCGTATTTAACTTTAACTTCGTTTTATTCTGTGTACTATTTTTCTTTGTTATATAGGAAGCATTTCCTCCGCATAAAATTGTGGATGTAATTACATTCTGCCAAAATGAAATTTTGCAGTACATTTCGGAAAATCTTTTATCACAAGCTCCAATCATATATGGAAAAACAGAGTTAGTTGATAAAAAAACTCATTGTAATTTAATTTTTTTAAAATTATATATTGAATCTGGTTTTCAGAAATAAACAGTTAGAAGAGATGGAAGCCAAATATGCCAGGATAGTGGTTTGTTGTTTGAATGGATATGCTCTTTTCTTGACAAAGATACCCAGCGATCGATTTGATTCGATTAAAGAAATGAACGATAAAATTATTTCAAATGCTAACTTTTGGAAGTTTTCCAAATATAAGGCCGGATCGGTAATTTCAAACCATGAAATAAATAATGAAAAATGATTCACTTGACATATATTACAGGTGAGGGCTGCTTGGTTCTCCTTGTTGTCTACAATGTGTCAACACGCCCCGCACTTTCTAGAAAGTGAACAAAAAAGGGCAATTAACAGTACGCTCATACATATCAACGATTATGACCCAGTTGTTTTACCTGCTGCATGGGAAGCATCCTTGCAAATTATTACCAATTTTCAAGTAAAAATGCATGATTATTTAATCTTTGGACTTATTAATTTAAAAGTACTTTTCTTTTTAAGGATTGTTGGCAGCATATTAACATGGAAAAATTTCTTCTACCGAAGTTAGTGAATATTTTTAGCCATGGAGGACAAGGCAATGCATCTTTTATTTGCCCTAATGTACTCCCACTTCTAAGTCGCATTCCTGATTCAATAATAAACAACAAACAAGAATTTTATGTCAAGATTTTCTCTAGTTTTATAACAGGGTAAGTCATTCAATAATTTGATAAAAAATAGCTGTAGTATTAAAATAGTTTACTTATTTGTATAGGTTTAAGCAGCAGAGTGTTGCACAAAGTCATACTGAAAGTGAGGCTATCGCGACATCTTTCAACGAGTGTATTCGTTACATTATTCTGCAACATATTGAAGAATTAGACTTTTGTCTTGCCTTAACCGAAAATGTAAGAAGACTGATTTTCTTCAGACTGGGATTTTATAAAAATAAGTATTTTACTCTAGATTTTAAAAGCGGTTGCTACCACCATGGTTGACCCGTTGTACCGACATCTAATAACGTCGCTTTATACATCGTTAACTCAAACATTGCTACACTGGAAGAAAAACGAAGCAACGAATGAAAATTATAAAGAGCTGGGAGAATATTTCTGGAAGGAAATGACCAAATTGTGTATTGATAGCATCGACAATAACATTCATGACAAAACGATTCTTAACTTTGTTTATAATTGCCAGTACAACTTGTTTGTTATATTGAATGAACCGTGCGCAAAGAAAAAAAAGAAAATGAAGGTTTGTTGATTTTGTTTGAAATGAGACAATTTTAAAAGAATTTGTACATTTTAGGTCCAATTTGTAACAGATGTTGATAGCAAGGAAGTTTCGAAGAGACCAGAAGCTGAAACGACTACAGTTCTTAATGATTCAAATCAAACAGAAATAAAGAGAAATGTATCATTACTGATTGACAAGCTTGGAAAGAAATATTTCAACTCAGTTTTGGATGACACTAATAACGACTTCAAATTAACAACTATAGAACATCTTTGGAATATTTCTAAAGTTCTGCCTAACGATCAAATGGAAATACTAATTCAGAGTGCCGGTCAAGATATATCTGACATATTAACTGGCTGGCTTATGAATCACAATATTTCCACAGTTTATTTGGTAGGTTTTATTTTTAACTCGATCGATTTTATTGGGACAGAAGAGAAGAAATCTTCAGTGCTAGCCGAATTATTGAAGGTAGGAATTATTTTAATAAAGTAATTATAGTAAAATGCAATATAATGATGTCATTTAATGTTTTTAGAGTCGACCCGATGAAACATTGTATGAAGCGATTAAAATGGCTATTTATGATTTAAGTACAAAACCAGGATTAAGCAGGTGGCTCAAGTCAGACTCTGTAAAAGCAGAAGTTTGCGATGTGGGAAATATAACAAAAGAAAATTCCCAGATTTTGGAATATTACCTCATGACTAACAAAAATGGCGGTGAGCACAAAACAATTTTTTGACCATTTAGCATATGGGCTTATTTACTCTCTATTTTTAACTTGCTAAGGTAAAGTTAAAAAAAAATATATATAAAAAACCAGGAGATAAAATTCATATTTATTCAACATTTGTCTGGACCATCTTGATAATTATATTATCAATTTAACAGAGGTCAGCCACAACTCTAATAATGAACTTATTCACAAAATGCACTTACTCAAGTCGACATTCGTCCATTTCCTTTCTACTGTTCCTGGTCTCTGGCTTATGGACTCTCTTGGTCTCGGGCAGAGTTGGGCAAATTCCAATCTCAAATTTGATTAATGATTAATTTAATTAAATCTAATCATTAATCATTAGTCAAATTTGAGATTGATTTAACTAATGATAAATCATTAACATTTAACATTTGGGGACCGCGGTAGCCGAGTGGTTAGCATGAGAGACTCTCACGCCGCGGTCGTGGGTTCGATTCCCACCGTCGCCTCTGGCCCTTTTTTCCCGATAACCCCCAATTTGAACACACAAGAATTCGTACTATGGCTAATATGCAAGATCATAAGGCAAAAAAAAAAAAAAAAATAACATTTAATGCCAAAATTTACAGTTAGAAGATCAAGGATTGGCTTGAAATCCGAAGAAGGCTCGTATTGTGATATGAATAATATTTAGTCGTGCATTGTATGACGAATAAAGTATTATTCTATCATAATTAAAACATAAGTCAAATCAGAATCCTTACTCTCCGCTAAACATTATTCCTTAGTATTATTATTATTATTAAAATATCAAACTATTAAGGGTTTATCTAGGAAAACCATTTATATTTAATCATGATTAACTATATAGATCGTAAATATTTAACAAATGTATCTAGCCTTTACGTGGCGAATATTGTACTTTTTTGTTGTCAAAAATTATATGAGTAAAAGCGTGGTGCGGCATCGTTATTTAAATAATTATGTTGAATGACAATTTAATTAATCAATAAATTAATCATTTAATCACACATTGGAATAATGGTTAATTGGATTAATCATTAATCAAAAGTTCGATTAATGTTTAACTTTTTAATCGTGAATAGTTTGGCAATTAATTAATTGTTAATTGTGATTAAAAAAATTAATCGATTATGCCCAACTCTGGTCTCGCGGCTCTCCTGGTCAGTTAACTTGGCTCTTCTTTGCCCTCTACTCGGGTCCCGACGCTCCTCGCTATGAGATTCTCCCTCATTAGATGACTTTTTGATGCTTTCTGCCTTTTATGCAGGTCTAGACTTCCTGGCCTCAGGACTTTCCTCATTAATTGACTCTATTAAACTCTTCCTGCCCTTTACTTGGTTCTCAACTCTTCACAGTCTCTTCTTTCCTTGCCTCGGGGCTCTCCTCATCAGTTAACTCTATTTGATTCTTGTCTGCCCTTTGCTCGGATCTCGACTCTCCTTACCTCAGGATTCTCTCATCAGTCAACTTGATTAATTTCTCCCCTCAAGTACGTTTTGTGACTACTGAATGGTTTGATTTTCCAATTTTCCCTTTTATGTCCAAAAGAAGGGTGAAAGGGGCGAAAAAAAATTTCTAAGGCTTTGCTGGTCATGACCCCTGCTGTTCGAATATACATGCAACACCCTGCAATTCATTGGAGCTACTGTCATGTTGCCCCTTGCCCTATCGTCAATAGTCCTGTAAGGTCACAAACACCATCTGGTTAACACAAGTCTAAATTTATCGCAACCCATCCCTAACCATCGTAACCCCTAACTTTATCTGTATGTGTTGTATGAGAACTTTCCCTTAATAAATAACTCAATCTTTTTTCTTGTTTACACCATCCAAGTTTTTTGGAAAAATTCCTTTGGTTCCTACTAGGTTGGCAAGCTGTCACAGCCTAGCATAAATAGTACATTTATTTATAAACTATCGCCTACATTAATTCTAACTTAATGGCTTTAACTTCTTATTACTCATCATTAGCATAAATGTGTGGTGATTAGTGACCTTTAATCGATAATTATTCAGAAATCGTGAGATGCAGTCTGGTGTTTTTTGTTTGTCTGTTTGATGAGAGAAGGGGTAGGGTCTGATTTGATTATGCTGAATGTGTTTGTGTCAGTGTTAATTTTGTTAATTTTTTCCCTGTACTCTTTTTTGCTGATTGCTACTGTTTGTTTTGTTTTATCAGCAGAAAGAATGAGTATGACAGGATTATTTTTGAGAAAATTTTTGGTTTTGGTATATGTTTGTTGAGATATGTTGTGTTGATTTGTAGTGAGGTGTTGTAGGTGATTTGCTATTGTGTTAATGCATTTTGATCGTGTTATGTATTTTTCTTCCTCTGTTTTTGTGGATTTTTGGATTGCATAGTCTACATCCGTAATTAATTTAGCTGTTCGAAAATCTGTTTTGTTGTAAGGAATGGAATGTTTGGGACCAAGTGATAGGAAGTTCTGGACTTCTGGAGGAATGTTAGTTTTTGTTAGGTTTAGGAACCATTTATTTGTGTTAACAGGTGTTTGTTGATTAAGTTATTGAATTTTTTTGAAGTGTTTGTTTTTAATTTGGTCAAAGTGGACATTGTATATATCTTTGTGATGGGTGTAAAATTTTTTAAAAATTATTATTTATGTATGTTGTTAATTCACCAGACCGCATCTCACGATTTCTGAATAATTATTAACATACATTTTTATTATTTTTAGAGTTCATTTTGGGCAATGACACAGTATCGTCATTATTTGATATACTAACAGAAATGTTGAAGACTGGAACTATCTCCCTTGAAAATGTCAATACAATTTTGAATCCATTGTTCAATTCAAGAAATAAAAAAAATCTGGAACAGTTCAGCGAGAAAATTCTTCATATCCTTGAATTGTTGTTCTGGGTGATAGTGACAACGAAGAATTACAATAATGGTCAAGTGTGGTTAACTGGTGTCATGCTGTTTTCTACTTTACCAAATATGGAAAAACCATTTACAGACCATATTTATAATTGTGCTAAAATTGTTGCAGAATATTTAAATGAATTGTAAGTTTTTTCATTGAATTAATATCAAATCTGAAGTATGTCTTGGTTATGTAAATTTTTTTAGGAACAATGAAGAAGAAGTCGATGTAAACGGTGCTGTAAAAACATCATTTATGCTTTTAAACGCAGTTGTCCAGGGTGATAAAGAAGTCATGAATTTAAAAGGGGCTAATATATGCAAATTATTTTTGACAACTATACTTACCGAGTCAACAGAAAAGTGGCAATCCGAAGTTGAAAACATTAGTTTCACCGTTGAGTTTTTAGACGGGTTATTGCCTTACGACGAGAAAAATTTGAAAAACGGTCTGTACATCGAAAAAGGAAAATGGGATCCTTTTTGCAAAGTTAACTTCCTGTCATACGTCTGGTCGCTGCTCTATTGTCTCAAATACCTGACAATTTTGATGGACGCCCAGTATGGAGAAGAAAATACAGACGACGAACAAGTATTCGAGCATTTGCACATTCAGCTGAACAGCGAGCAGTACAGTGAATTGGTTCAACACTTGCTGGACATGTGCCACGGACTACGTCTGTGCAACACAATAATTGATAACTTTGTCAATGTAAGTTGTTTTTATTATTTACTTAAAATATCTTAATTATATATAACACATTCAATGTAAGCTAATATTTCCAACTAAAATTTATACAAGGAAATAGCATATGGTGAAAGAAATTATGTGTGGCCCCCCTGGTACGTATTTTTACATAGAACAATTCACACGAATCAATCTCTGTTCACATATCGAACCGTATGATGGCCCAAAAACCTTGGAAAATAAGACACAAAATCATTTTAAAGTATTACAAAGATTGACATGTTTTAACATTACAGGGACAAAGCCTGTGGTACTGAGGTTGCCAAATAGCATACATACATTAATAATAATAATAATAATAATGCTTTATTGAACTTGAGAAAGGAAAAAAGACAATTTTGATTTCAAAGCATTTAAGGACATGGATCTTGGAGAGGTCGTTGATTAAACAATCAGAAACGAAAAAATACACAATAAAATAAGATAAAAGTTATAGCCTAGGCAATAAAATGAANTTCAAAGAGTTTGATATTTCTTTTTAAGCCAGTTGCACTATCCGATAGGATAACTATATCGTCATCATACATTAATATTTTAATTGTCGTATTACCTATACAAATTCTACATTCCAGGACATTTGGGCGGTCATGTAAAAAGAGAGTGAATAAGATTGGCCTCAACTGGCAATCCTGACGCACACCACAATGCACTTTAAAAAACTCTGAAATACCCTCCTTATCTCGCATACTTGCAAAAGTCACAGAGAATAAGGATTTTAAAGTGTTGACTTCTTTGAGGAAAATCCTAAGTCAATGAATTTTAAAAATTATCCCCGACAAACTACACCATACATTAAAACAATTTGTAAAAAAATATCCTGGATTCTTACGAGTTTCACTTTCAGATCCACAGCCAAAGAGAATTGGTTGAGGCTGGGTCATAATCTAGAAATTCTGTTTTTCAATCTCCTGGGTGGTAAATAAAAAAAATCTCTGCCATGACCTGTAGGAAAAGTAGTAATGGAAAACATTAGAAACATTATTTCAAAATATGAAAATAAACTTACATTTCTCAAATTAATTACTATTGCAATGGGATGTTTTATGCTTTATAATTAATAATGAATATCCCAAGCCAAATGCTAAGGCTTTACTGAAAAAGAAACAAAGATATGTGAAGCGTCTGCCACCTTAAAGCTCAAGACATTTAAAAAGCTGAGTCATTACAATGACCCGCCTGCTGGTTCGTCCCACTGGTTGGGAAGGTGGCTGTGAAGACAGAACTACAAGCAATTGCCATATTCTGATGATTAACTAGAACAAGACGCAAATTATTTGATGGTTTAACTTAAAATATTCTTTAACAATTTATTCAGTTTAATATATAATGTAATAAATGTACTTGTTTGTATGTCATCCAGAAGCTAACGTCCTTAGATATTAATAAAAAAAAAAATCTACTTCATATTTTACTTCTAGACTTGTATTTATAGCAGTAGTTTAAAGGAGCTAGGACAGAACTGTAGAAACTCAATCTTATTCATTTTAGTAAGTTTTTGTATGTCAGGAATTTTGCTTAACAAAATCTCTAGCTAACAATTGTTAAAAGCAAACCTTTCTTCCTTAGATAAGGGTGGTGTTAAATTTCTCCGTGCGGTCTGTGGGGTTATGTACCTGTAATTTGGTCATTACAGTTCATTTTGGTCTATCCTTGCAAGATTGTCTGGCGTGCTTCAGTATTTCATCCATGCCATTTTCAATCATAAGTATCAATTGAAATTGAAATGAAATATATGAACAACTAGTACTTTTTGGCTATGACCGAGATCTTTATACAAACACTAATTTCTCCTGCCAATAAACTAAGTAAATAACTACAATTAATTAAGGTTTTTAGTTGAGATAAAATGGCAAAAAGGAGGGAAGATTCAAAAGGTGGGGTTGAGATAGGAAGTTGATGTCCGAGGGGATCGAGGTCACGATAGCTCAAGTGGTAGAGCAGTGGCGTATCAAGCCGAAGATCGTGGGTTCGAATCCCGCTCGTGCCATTGACTTTTTTATCTCAACTAAAAACCTTAATTAATTGTAGTATATTAATTGGTCAAGTGGACCACGAAATTAGTGAATCTAAGTAAATAAGTAAAAAGCTGGCCAAGGCTAAAGCAACATTAAACACTGTCTAATTTTTTTAAAACGAATGACCAACTACAAAGCTGTGGCTAATATTATGTAGTATTTTCAAACTTTTTTGTGGTTGCTGCAGCATGAATGATTTGTACCAACACTGATTTTTTAGTTGTAGGTGAGTCGATACCTTTTCGCCAACTTTCTAACCATCAAATGTTGTATTTGAGTCTCACTGAGTCTTGTTTGACAATATAAGTTTGAAATTTTTGCTCACACACTAATTTATTCTGCCAATAAACTATATAATATAAGAAATTGGCCATAGTTAAAAAAAAATTAATTAATTGTTTACAAACTGTTTTCTGTTCAAACAGACTAAGCAGTGTCATCAAGCACACAGTCATTTTATTGAATTAAAACCCGGATTAAAAGAATTGGTTCAAAGGCTGCAGGAAGAACAACAAAAAGCGTTGATAGAATTATGCGAAGAACGGTTAGTTGTTAATTCATTTTCCCTTATGATTACCTTTAATACGCTAACCAATTCCTTTTGCTACCAGGTGTAAAAACGGAGGATCTCTTTGGAGTCGGACGCTCAAGTTTGTAAAGGAAGAGTTTTTGGAAATATCTGTAAATATATATTTAAAAAAGAAGTTTTATTGAATATTTTACTTGTTGATAGATAGTTTATTTATTTTTTTAAAGTGTGCAGAGGAAGAGATTGAAAAGACAAGTTTGGACGACCTCACATCTTATAGTTTGTATTTGCTTAGAAAGCGAGCTGAATGCAATCAAACCGACACGGAAGAATTAACTTCAGGGCTTGAACTTGTTATTACAACATATAAAAATAATTTTCTTAAAAAGTACGTTTAGTAAAATTTGTATTATTTGTTGTATTTATAAAATTCAAATCTTTAGGCAACTAAGTGAACTTGATGGAAGTCAATTGTGCCTTTATTCTGAGATCGTTTGGTTTTTATGTACCATAATCAAACACGCTCCTCAAGTCGTTAACGACAGGGCTGAAACTTGGGATTTCATTTTGATCTCTTTAGCCACCTGGATTGAAAGTATAAACACCACACAGACTCATGAATATAGTAAAGAGGTAAATAATTCTTTAAACATTATTTTTTTTCTTTAATAAAATTACTAAATTTATACTTTGTTAGTTTGTGCGTTACGTCACTGCAGTATGTGATTTGCACCGAGAATTTGTAATTCATTTGGTCGAAGCAAAGAATGAAAAAGTGTTAGATGAATGGCAAGAAATTTTTGCCAGTGATTCATACGGATACGTAGGAAAAATCTGGAAACACTTTAGCGGTAATGCTAAAATTTTAAATCTTGTCACATCAATTACGAATGTTTTTATTTTTTAGAAAAAACACTGAATTCAAATTTCGATCATGTAAGTCTTAAATATCTCACAACATTGAGTAAAATGATTTGCTTCATTTGCCACTCGGATACGCACAAGATCCCTTGTGAGAAATTTTGGACGGATGAGAACAACGTAATTACGTGGCTTCAATACGGAGCTGACTGTATTACTTCACCTTATATTCCTGTTCAGATCACTTGTTATTGTATTATAACAAAGTATGGATATTTGTATATAAAAAAACTATTTAATATGTAATATGTTTATTACATTACAGCATAATTCCTACACTTGTTAAACTTGACAGTTCATACGATGAAAGAACGTTAAACAAGCTCTCCTGTCAAAAGTTACTCATAAAGCTCACAGAAACGCACAGCGTTGTTACGACTCTTTTTCAGGATTACAGGTATTTGTTAAATAAAGATTTCAACTAAGTAAACATTCACTGAGACATTCTTTTAGTTTTACGGTGAGCTGTTCAGTATCCCCTTGTTCAGACAGCTTCACTTACACATGGGGATATCTTCTTATGTGGTCTTTAGTTTTAAAATTATGCCAAGGAGGAGATTCTCAAACACGTTATGTTTATACACTTTGGATAAGGTAATTATATTTATTATTTATTAAAAAAAATATTATAAGGCATTTTCTTCTTCAGAGAGAAAGAATTGTTTGGGCATTTTATGGAAAGTATTGTCAGATTAATGCCAGAGTCAGTTTTACTCAACATCAATTTTAGCAAAAAGCAAGAGCTATTCACAACTCCACCTGCATTAACGTTCGGTGAGTATTTAACCATATTTTCAAATAATTAAAGATAAGACTAAAATTATACAATTTCAATACATCTGTTTCTTTGACAATTTGGCTCTCGACCATACTAAAAGGTGGCCATTCACGATCACTCCTAGCAGTCCAAATAGAGCGACCCCGTTCCAAAAACCACGTCAATGGCAAAACTGAACTGGCATGCCCAGCTGTGTCGAATATTCGACCGGTCCAAACTCGACCACTCCAAATATATTTTTTTTCCCGTGGCCGCTTCGTCTCCAAAAGGGGAATAATTGGCGCCACACAGTTTTTATTTTATTTTCTTCCTTTAGGCAAACAGTGAAACCCTCGGGGTGAAATAACAAAATAACAAATCAAAAATATAAAAAATAAATAAATAAAAAAAAACAACAACAACAAGAAAATAAAATATTAATGTCCTCTGTATTAAGAATAAGATGTAAAAAAAAGAAGAAGTAAAACAAGTCTCTTCACAATTAAAAAAAAAAAAAAAAAAAAAAAAAAAACTGTCCAGAAACCAATCTTATAACTTAAAAGCTCGAACCTCGTGTACGTCCTTTTTCTCGTTGTTCCAGAATAGTTCTCCCCTCGCACACGCAAACCCTCCACTCCACGACGATGGGAAAAGTCCCAAAAATAATAAAATAATACACTGTCACGTTTTATTTTTTTGCCTCGCTCGTCCACACCGTCCAGTCTCAGCTCAAGGCCTCCTTGTTCACTCCCGTCGGACCCCACTCCTCACCAGCGTCCCCGCTGAGCCTATCCTATGAATCTTTAGCTATGAGTTCAAAAAATTGAGAACTTAAAAAAAAACTTGGGGTCCTGGGTGTGACTTGAAACTTGTGAACTTAAAAAAAAAAAAAAAAAGGTATCTCATGGTAATGAGATTTTACCATTGCAGCTGAATTTACACTGTAAAAATGTTACCGGTTCCTCTTCCAGTAGGGATTTGACACAGAATGTACAATATAAATATAATATAAAAGTCGAGAGGTTTCAAGTTTTTAAGCAGCGTTAGGGTTGGTCAGTTGAAGTTCTTCAAGTCAGGACACACTAGAACACTCGATTCCCAACTTTAAACAAATATATTTGAAGCACTGCTAAAGCTCAGTCCCATGGGTTTCATTCTGTGGAAAAAAGGTTGTAATTTAATATTAAAAAGTGCTTTTTTTGGTCCGAAACAGCCGTTACATTCTTAAACCCACTACTTATCATTGTGAAATGCAAGAGTGGTAATGGCAAGAATATCTATAATCTTTAGTTATTAAACTTTATTTTAGATTTCATATAAAACACTAAAAATGTGTATTCTCGCTTTTATAGATTGCTGTACGAGTGAAACTCTCAGCAACTTTTGCTGCTGGCTTTACTGCGAGCTTCTCCGTACTTTGCCAGCTGTCGTCAGACAGTGGGGCGCCGAGGCAGAGCCGAAATTCTTATCATTTATCGATAAACTTACGACGATGTACGTTTCGCCGATATTATGCAGCGAGGAAATGAAAGCTGTTAAAGAACAACAAAAAGCTTTTGAAAATTTAAAGGTAATACCACCGTATTGTATCGTCGGTATTTAAACTCATCTGAGTGACTTCAGAGGACAAATCTCTTTGGACAGCAACAGATAGAAAACTTTCTTATCAATTTGTTCATTCTATTCACTGAACATTTGGGGGCAACTAGGCTATGAAGAAAAAAATTCTACTGATTTGCCTATCCTCCACTTCTCATCATAATCTGAATAGTCCAGTTTTATATAAACCTAGAACTAATGCCAAAACCATTAACACCTAATGAATTATCCCATGTCATCCATCTACCATTTAAAAATCTGTAGTTTTTCTTAACTACGTGTACAATTCTGTCTTTAGGTTCTGCCATTATCTCAAAATTTATTTGGTCTATTACAACAATTTTTGTTTTATTTTTCTTAGTATACTATGAATGTAGCTGAGTTTAAAAAAAAAAAAAAGCGAATCATTAAGTTTTGGTAACATCTTAAAGTTGAGACAAAATCTTACCTTTGTGTAACGTAAAATGCTCCGAACCATCATCAATGCTCCTTTCTGTGTATCCAATCTTAGTATTCATAAATATGACAATATTCAGTATGTCCTCAAAGTAATTATAAACTGTTTTAAGAAGTCTTTTTATATAAGATTTTGGTTGAAATGAAAAGTGTCATGAGCGGGATTCGAATCCACGATTTTCGGCTCAATAGCCACTTGAGCTATCGTGACTTTGATCCACTGAAGAATGGCAAAAAGGAGGGAAAATTGGAAAGGTGGGTTGAGATGGAATGGATCGAAGTCACAGCTTAATTGGTTGGAGCAGCAGCGTATTTAGCCGAAGGTCGTGGGTTCGAATCTCACTCATGACACTGACTTTTTTATCTCAACCAATACTTTACATAAAAATTAATTAATTGAAAGAAGTAATTTGGTCAATCAGGCCACTAAATATGTTTTAAGAAGTTTAAAAACAATTATTCTGTCAGAAAAGCCATTGTATTTAAATAGTTGTATGTAAATTCATAGGTTCAGATTTTCCCATCAGCGAAAGAAGTTGTTGCCGTATATACTGTTGAAGAGTCTGCTATGGAACTTGTTATAAAATTGGCATCAAACCATCCTTTAAGTCCTCCAAAAGTGGATATTCCAAAGGGCCTTACTGCCTCCAGCCAGACCAAATTCATAATGCAACTTTCGATATTTCTCACTCATCAGGTATCAAATAAACAAATCAAAACGAATACAAAAGTTTAATTTATATTTTTTATCCGCAGAACGGTTCAATTTGGGATGGGCTGATGTTATGGAAAAGTAATTTGGATAAAAAATTCGACGGCATCGAGGAATGTTATATTTGTTTTTCAATTTTACACAACACCACCCAACAGCTTCCAAAACTAAGCTGCCAGACGTGCAAAAAGAAATTCCATTCGTTCTGCTTGGTATGTACTCTTATCAAATTTAAACAATATTTTTCAGTTTCAATAATCCATTATTTATTTTTTTTCTCCAGTACAAATGGTTCACAACAAGCAACAAATCAACTTGTCCCATTTGCAGAAATCATTTTTAAAACCGCCAAATGGGTATAAATTAAAATTGAATTGTTATTTGTACATATGTTTGTATTAATATTATTTCAAGGCTAGTGTAATATTAAAAAATATCTTTTGTAAATAACAGCAATATAATTTTTTTTTGTTAAGCAATTCTTTTTAAAAATATCCCTTTTACATAAAACTCAAATGTACAAGAACTATCACAGTTGAGAATTTATTTATATTAAATTATTTTTTGTTTTGGGGAGGAGAAAACAAAAATATTTCATATGAAAATAAATTCCTACAAATTAAAGTAAAATAAAATTAATCTTTTGATTAACAAGAATCTCATATAAAAGAATATATATATAAAAGTATTTGTTTATAAATATATCTACAAATTTAACTGATCGGCTTATAACTAGTGGATAATAAGCCTGGCTATCAGTTTATTACTGTGAATAATAAACCTAGATATTTGTTTAGTTTAATGAACTATTTCCAGTCCTTAAAATTTTGAATAAAAAGTTTTACAAGGTATATTTACAATTTTTTTATATAGAGAACCACATAAAAATAATGTTATGTTCTGTCTTCTTCGATTAAATGGACCATCTCCGATATAGTCTTGCTTAGATTGGGCAACACCTAACAAAAGGACAAAAAAGATTTCAGTAAATCAATTGTGATTAAAATATAAAATACAAGTAAAATGTGATAGATTACCTGCATTAGATGTTCGGACATCGATTGGCGGATGTATTTTCCAAGGGATTTCTCAGAAAATGGAGAATATTCGGATATTTGCAAGAGATCACTTGCGGTGGGCCTCGCCTTTGGATCTTTCAAAAGGCAGAGTCGAAGAGACAGCATTAAAGTTAGCGGCGGTTCTGTGGGCAGTTTCGGGTATGAGATCTTTATGTTTGGATCCGCGATCGCTTGAAGTTTAGCCCAAGCTTGTGTTAAATGTGAAAACGGAGTCCGGCCGTACAGCAAGTTGTACAAAATGCATCCAAGAGACCAAATGTCAGATTTGTAAGTTATCTGAAAGAAAGAATAATAAACCTTATACATTTTAAGAACTATTTACTTTTAAATAAATTTCTTTAAAGAAGGAAGATAACATTAAAGAACAAGAGGATATGTACCAAATATCACTGCGGCTAATAAGAAACTTCTTGAATTTCAGGATTCAAAGCATTTTCTTTTATAAGCATACCAGACAATTTCCGTACATGTGCCTATCGTCAAGTTTTATATGAACTTATATGCAAATATTTCAAGGTTTTTTTTTTTAATAAGAAAAATACAATGTACGGTGCCACACAACTTCCACTGTTCAGGAAAACAATATGTACATACATCAACAGGTATGCATCTGTGCATGTTGAAACAAATGAGATAAAATTATTAGGGGCCTAAACAAGATAAAATTTATGAAATAAATTAAATTCGCTAAATTTCAGTTAGAAGATGGTGATGAATCAGTGAAGTTTGATCATTCAGCTTTCTCAAAGAAAGATGTTATAGAAGGCTACTGTGTATGGTTTTTCAACTGTTGGAAATTTTGTTGGAGAGCGTCTTTTGCTTGAGTTAGCAGTTGTGAGGCACTTATTGCTTCGTTCCGCAATTGGATCATATTCTATGATTTTGTTTTTCTACTTTTAAGCTTTAAGCTAGTCGACTTGTTAATATGAAACCTGATAATTTGAATTTCTTGATAGTACTAACTCCTCAGCAGGTCACTTTGGTGAATTGAAAAAAATTCTATGCATTTTGAATGCGAAATATTTTTTGTATCAGGGGAAGAAAGAGATTGTATATATAAAAATTGAACTACTACATTGAACTTTTTCTTTGCAAAATTCTTTTATTGTTTACTTTCTTACGACCTAAAGTTTCTTTGAATTTAATCTAGTTAGTTTAGCAATCAGAGTTTGTCATGTATTTGGAAATTGAAACACTTTTGAAAAACATTTAGACAAAGGACACCAGGCCACATTGAAACCCAAACAGGTTCACAAATTTTTACCATGTTATACATTTACAATACAAACTAAACTTATAAATAACTTGTAAAAATGCATGTCAACTTTTAATAATTTGCTGTTTTTTTTTTTTTTTTGATAATTCGAACCTATTTATAAGTCAATTATTTTTGTGGTCTCTTGGGTTTCGAATTGTCAAGAGTCGACTGTATTTAATTCTCTACAATATTCTCCATTCTGTTTTTCTTCTATTTTACTATCTTGTTCACATTCTCTTCATTGATTTGATTCACACTCAAGTCCTCTAATACTTAACTAGTGGGGCAACCATAGATAGACAGCATTCAATTAAGAATGAGAAAACTTTTTTTAAATACTGAACACATAAGCGGGCTATGACCCAAAAGCAAGTGTAACCTTGTGTAGCTGTGCTAAACTTATTTAATGGTTTATTGACAATCTCTATTACAAATTTATATACAGTAGAACCTTCACGATGCAGGGATCCAATTAAACTTTTTTTTTCTTGTTTTTAATGTTTTCCTCTTACCTGGGTTACTAGTAACTATAGTCCAAATTTTCTTTCACTGCGACCCAAATGTTAAATCGTGGAATTGGCCCTTCTTTATTTCCAACCTTAGAAAGTGGACTGCCTGAAGGTATTTGAGCTCTTTCTTGAGCCCCTTCTCACTTTTTCCTTAGGCGTTAGCATTGCTGTTCCATGCCTAACCAACCTTTCCAAAGAGGCTTGAGTTGTGTTTGGTTTTGTATTTTTTTTAGTTATTGTTTGAGCAAGCGATAAAAGGTAGCACAGGCAACAGTGATATTAAAGTCTTGTTTCAACGAATATCCCACCAGGATTTTTATTGAAGAAAAATCTAGGTGACCAGCTTTGTACCTGATTTTGAGTTGCCAGCCAAAATGTCGCAAAAAAGAAATTATGTAAAATTATAAAAAAATTGCCTATTGAGTTTGAGATAGGTGAGCAAACCACAATATCGTGAAGAAAAAAGAAGACATTTTTGACTTTACATCCAAGAATGGCACACTTATGCAGAAAACAAACACTTTGAGTGAGTAGAAATACTTTGGATTGAATATAAAAAAATATATTTTTTTGCATTGTATAAAATCACTTTTTTCCTGTATGTATTTGTTAAATTTAAACAATGTTTGTAAATCCCATGCCCTGAAGATCTCAATAAAGATTGAAACATTGGCACGATAAAGAAAATGTTTTTCTGAAACCTACATCACACCAGACCGCATCTCACGATTTCTGAATAATTCTCGACTAACGGTCACTAATCACCACACATTTATATCCAATTTTGATGTATGCATTATAATGTTACATAATTAAGGAATTTTTATTATAATTTTTTCTACACATTTCTTTAATTTTTCATCGAACATAAAATCATAAATAATAAATAGCTCAATTATCCCTGGATAATTACCGCCTTCAGTGATAGGTGTGTCCAAATAACCCATAGGCTAACCACTGGATATCATGAAATGTCTAATATTGAGTGTAGGTTGGAAAAAAACAAAAACACCTAGATTATCTCAGGATAATTAAGGCCATACCATATTATCTTAATCTTCATTCTTGTACACACAGATGTAAAAGGACAAAATCTATCACTAATTAATCTAATAGTTACCTTATAACCCGCCCCTTCGCCAGATGTTGTTATGGCTTCTGGGCTAATGTAGTTAAAAGTTCCCGTAGTGACATCTTTTAAAACACTAGTCATATCTCCTTGGAGGGACGAAGCGATTCCAAAATCGATTAGTTTCAATCTACCATTCACGAGTAAGAAATTTGCAGGTTTTAAATCCGAGTGAATAATTCCTTAAAAAAATTAAAATAAATACATAAAAAATTTATATTTATTTATTATAAGAAAAATTTAAGAAAAAGGTTGGATAAATTTACCTTGTTCGTGAATTGCTTTGACAGCGTGCAATATTTCAGTCCAATAGTAAAATATCATAGGCATCGATACTTTTTTGGTTTCGTTAATATTTTTTATAAGCTTTGAAAAATCAATGTCGCCTATTTCCATCACGACGTAGAGCATTTTGGACACTTGAACGAACTCGCTAAAATTTCAATTAAAATTCATCCATGCCGTTTAGGAATAGCTATGTTTTAATTAAACACTTACTGATCGAACATACGAATCACACTGGGGCATCCCTGAAGTTTTGAAAGCAGCTCGATTTCATTTAAATATCCTTTAGCTATGAATTCTTCAGCTGTAGCCAAGTTAACACACTTTATAGCAAGTAAATTACTGTTTGGTCCTAATACCTAAAAATTAAAAAAAAAATATATTAAAAAAATGTGTTTTTGAAGAAGAGGAAAAATAACTTTATTCTGGGACTGGTGTCCCCTAAGAATAATTTACATGAAATAAATAAAGGAAGTTCCTTCTAAAAGTAAAAAAAAGAAATCTTGGCACAATGTATACCAATAAGGCAGGACAGAAGAAAAAATTACGAGAATATTAAACAAAAATAACAAATTTATTGTGGATTAGTCCAGATTGAGGACGGGAATTTTTATGGGCCCATTCGGTGATGGAGTTTAGGTCTTTTTGGATCTTGAGGTGGCCGAGTGAAGATCAGAAGGGTGGAAGGATATGTTTATTTGGGAGTCATCGGTAGTTACAGGACTGGATGGAGTCGGGCAGATCATTGATATAAATGGAAAAAAGGATAGGAGAGATGCTAGAGCCTTGGGGCACCCCAGATTTTAGAGGGAGGAAGGAAGAGGTAAGGCCATTGGGAAGGGAAACAGCTTGGTGGCGATTGGTAAGGTAGGAGTGGAACCAACGGATGGTGCTGGCGGAGAAGGAAAAAGATTCGAGTTTAGAGAGGAGAGAAGAGTGAGGGACAGAATCGAAGGCTTTAGAAAAATCAAGAAGGACAAGTATAGTAACTTTCCGTTGGTCCATTGCTAAGTGGAGGTCACTGGTAATTTTTATTAGTGCTGATTGGGTGCAATAACCTTGGCGGAAGCCAGATTGGAGGGGGTTGAGAAGATGGGACTGTTCAAGGTGCCTGGAGACTTGTGCTTGGACTAATCTTTCTAGGGGCTTAGACAGGTTTGAGAGGATGGAAATGGGACGGTAGTCTGTAGGGGAGGATGTGTTTAACATTATTATTGTAAATAAAAATCATACCTGGTACACTTTGCTAGAGCCTCCTTTTCCTAATAATGTCAGAACCCTGTAAGGTATATTATTGATGTAAATATCTTCTTTTGTTTCCTTTTTTGTTTTATTAATTTGGGAAAGCATGGCATGATAAGGGGTACTTGTCTGCTGAATTGCAGGTTTTTGTACTTCTTGAGTTTGATGAATGACAGTCGCTTCATTTGTATTGTTCATGTTCGTCGACACCACTGTTTTAGGGGTAGAATTAAATCTTTGATAAGGAAAATCAAGCTTGTGAGGTGTATTGGCGTCTGGAAATGAAGCATGGTTGCTCCCGTTTGTTGAATTTTGATAGCAATACTGCGGTTTTGCATGGTTTGGATTTGAACTGTCATAATGACTGTTAGATCGTTCTAACGTCTTAGGACCGTTTCTTTCTGTTTTGCTTTGATTATCTGTGAGTTCTCTTGAAACTGATTGAATCTTAGAATCAATCTCTGTATTAGATTTGATTTTTAAAAGGTCTTTATTTGACATATCTGATGCAGATTGACCATAAATAGGCATTTTTCTTTCTTGTTGAAATATACTTGGATTTGATTTAAAACAATTCTCCTGTTTCTGCTCAGTTGGGATTTTTGACATACATTCATTAAAAAGAGAATTAGGCCTTTTAAAAACATAATCACCGTTATGAACAGGTTTCTTTTCATCAGTGCAAGTGTCTGTTTTGATTTGGGTAATTTGATTTGGAATTTCCTTAAAAGAATTAGATCTATACCCTTCGATACCCTTATTTTTTGTAGATAATTCCTGCTCTTTAACATTATTTATAGTGAGAGATGATAGTTTTTGGCCATTTAAGTCTCCATTTTCAGTCTGTCTCTTTGGCGTCTCATCTGCTTTTACACTATCTACATCATCGGGAAATATACCTGCCAATGGATCTATGGGTGAATTCATTATTTTGAAAGAGGCCAACTGCTTCCCTGGTGTTTTTATAGCAATACAATCAAATCCACTTGGTTTTTCTTGGGCGTCCACAGGTTGGCTAACATTAATGTGTGCGGTGACAAATGAGTCGTTACCAAGATCTGAAGATGAAGAATTATTTGTTACATCTTGCTTTACACTGGAATTCATTGGAACGTTTTTATTCAAGCTAGTGAAAGAATTGTTAATGTAAGAAATGTCCATATCATTTTTTGTAGGAAAATATTTATGGTTGTTCTTACTGAGATGATCTGATTCTGAATTAAGCTGTAAGTTATCCAATGATCTGAAAGGCGAAGCTCCTGTAAGATACTTTTGCAAACTGGATTTTTTCTGATCAGTCAGCCTTTCAGAAATTGAACAAATGTCATCTTTTGGTTTATTGCTTTGGATACCGAGCATTTGGTATGAATTGTCTAAAACATTATCTTGTTTATGCTGACTCTGAGGATGTGTCAGTGAAGGAGTTTGATAATTTTCAATAGACTGAATGGGTGCATTAATTTGCCAACTCCTAATACTGGATTTCAATCCTCTATTCGAATTCAACGGATTTTCACCAAGTCTTCTCCGTCCCAAACGGCTAAAACAAAAAACACATTCAACAATTAGAAAAAAAAAAAAAAAAAAGCAATTTGATACGTGATTAAACAATGCCATACTTAATTTTGTAAAATAATATCAACTTTTATGTTATTACTTTATAAAATAGTTATAGACAAAGAAAATATTAAACAATGTAAAAGCCCCTAATTATCCAAGTACATTTTTAAATCTAATTATAAGTGCATTGGTTTATAATTTAGCTAAGATTTGCTTCTTTAATTTGTTTAAATTTTTGTTGATGAATGATTGTTTCTGGCCATTTGGCCTTTTAACTTGTTTTGTGAGATCCACCACTGAATATGGGCAGAAGACAAAGCACATCTGACAGAACAGTGAGAATAGACACACCAAAATGATCTGAATGACCAAACAAGCATTTTTTGTTTTAAATGTTATTTATTTTTTTAAATCTACAAAACAATACAAGTTTAACTTGTCAATTTAATTGATTATGAAATAACTCATGGAAACATTGTACTTGAAGGTATAATGAATTTAGATTTCAATTGAAAAAGATTTTCTGCTTCAGTTTTTAGTTCTCGATTGTATAAAATGAGGTAGTCTGAAGGAAGGTCGGTCAGTAAATTTGTGTCAATATTGATTTTTTGAGTTATGGCTGAGTTGAAATCTTTTCACCAACATTCCAACTGTTAAATGCTACATTTGAGTCTCACTGAGTCTTTTTTTGGCGATATATGTCTGAAATCATTATTCAAACGAATTTCTCCAGCTAATAAACTAAGCAACAAGATAGATATAAAAAATTGGCTAAGGTTAAAAAATATTATGCACGAACACACCCTTGTAAAATTATTGACTAACTACAAAGGCTAATATTACATAGTGTGTTGAACTTTTTATGCGGTGATATCGTGGAAATCTGGGGAATGAATTGTGCCAACACTGATTTTTTAGTTGTAACTGAGATGAAATCTTTCCAACAACATTCCAAGCATAAATTGTTTTATTTAAATCTCACTGAGCCTTTTTTATGTCATGACTGAGATCTTTATTCAAACACTAATTTCTCCTGCCAATAAACTAAGTAAATAAGTAAAAAGCTGGCCAAGGCTACAGCAACATTAAACATTGTCTAATCTTTTTAAAATGAATGACTAACTACAAAGCTGTGGCTAATATTATGTAGTATTTTCAAACTTTTTTGTGGTTGCTGCAGCATGAATGATTTGTACCAACACTGATTTTTTAGTTGTAGGTGAGCCGATACCTTTTCGCCAACATTTCAACCATCGAATGTTGTATTGAATCTCACTGAGTCTTGTTTGACAATATTAAGTTTGAAATTTTTGCTCACACACTAATTTATTCTGCCAATAAACTAAACATATTAGATAGATATAAGAATTGGCTATAGTTAAAAAAAATTAAATTCTGTCTCACTCTTGTAAAATTATTGACTAAATACAAAGCTATGGCTAATTAAATTCACTATTTTTCGTGGTCCACTTGGTCAATTAATATCATTCAATTAATTATGGTTTTTAGTTGAGATAAAAAAGTCAGTGTCACGAGCGGGATTCGAACCCATGACCTTCGGCTTGATACACCGCTACTCTACCACTTGAACATACTCAAATTAATTGAATGCTATAGCTAATATTATATAATATTCTGAACTTTTTATGTGGTGATATCATGGAAATCTGGGGAATGAATTAAGCCAACAGAGATTTTGAGTTGTAGCTGACTGAAATCCGTACACCAACATTCCAAGCATAAATTTTTTTATTAAGTCTCCCAGTGCATTTTTGTGGCTATACTTATCGGAGATATTTGCGCAAAAAACAATTTTTCTGCCAATAAACTAAGTTGGGGCGCCGGTGGCAGCAATGGTTTAGGTGTTAACATGGTGCTCATCCCTGCAATGTAAAGGTCCCGGGTTTGAATCCATTGTCACATGGCTAAATTAAAAATTTCATAAAAAAAAAAAAAAAAAAAAAAAAACCGGCACCCCAAATAAATAAAATAAACTAAATAGACAAGTAGGAAGCTGGCTAGGGTTAAAAAATATTAAACACTCTCTCATCTCTTTAAAATTAGTGATGGACTACTAAGATATGGCTAATATTATGTTTATGTTATGCAATGATATTCTGTGAAATGTGGGAACGATTTGTTCTAACACTGATTTTTGAATTGTGGCTGAGTTGAAATCTTTCTATCAACATTTTTATTTGAGTCTTACTGCGCTTTTTTGCCTATACTTTTCTGAGATCTTTGCTCAAAAACCAATTTCTCCTGACAATTATTAGATTGAATGAATGAGATGAATTATTTAGATGTTAACATGGTGCTCATCCCTGCATTCAAACCCGACATACTTAAAAATGGGCTTTTTAAAAAACACTCGCACTCCAAGGATTGATACAAACTCTGCTGTTGAGAACCTTCATAAAAAAAAAAATAAAATAAACTAAGTAGAGAAATAAGAAGCTGGCTAGGCTTAAAAATATTACACTCTCTCATCCCCTTAAAATTAGTGATGGACTACAAAGGTGGTATGGCTAATATTATGCTTTTGTTATGCGGTGATGTTCTGAAATATGCTAACAGTGATTTTTGAGTTGTGGTGAGTTGAAATCTTTCCACCAACATTCCAATTATAAAATATTCTATTTGAGCCTCACTGAGCCTTTATTTAGCAATTTACATATGAGATATTTATTCAAAAACCAATTTCTCTTGCCTAAAAAAACTATGTAAACATGTAAGAAATTGGCAAGGGTTATAAAAATAATAATAAACAGACGCATTATCTTAAAATCAGTTACCATTAGAAAATTCATTTTGTGGTTTCATTTTTGAAAAAATATCGGTGTATATTTATATAAAGGACAATTTAAAGAATGCATAACAGTAGGCACAATGTATATGTACATAAAAATATAAATGGCAATAGTTATACATTATAGCGTTGGGATCTTTTGACGGGTTTTCTTTGAATGTGGAATTGTTTTCAAAAGTTGGAATGTTTGCATCAACATCAAAAACAAACTTTTGACAAAGTGGCAATGATTTTTTTTGGTTTTTAATACGTATTTGAGGAGGGTTAAAAAGGAAGATTTACCTTTTGAATTTGATAGACATGAATTTATCACAATTTGACGCGAAAGACCACCGATCCGACGGGCTATCGCAGTCGTCAGGCTCGTTTTCGCCATATCCCTCTTTATCATCCATCGTGTAAATATCAAATGTAACAAAACGTGTGCGAAAAGATTAAAAACTGTTCGCGGATTATTGAATTTTAACGCATATTCACAAAACGACTGTTGTTGTGTTTAATTCAACCGAGTAACACTTTCAATCCTAACGGTCGTTTGGTGTATCGCACAGGTTCGAGTTGGAATCGATGGATCGAACATGCAAATTTCAATAGTTGGAAACGACCCGCTCTGGAGGATTTCGAACGAACTGTAAAGTTATGATCGGATCGTTGTCTCTGTTTTTATTCAATTATCTCGTAAAATGACTCTGGATTAATTACTAATAAATATAGGTATTAAATATTATTATTATTAAATACTTTTACAGAGATAGGTTTATTTCAAAACTACATGATAAAAGTTCCTTAAGAACAATGAAGGATTGATATGAGAAAGATCGCTCAAAAAGCCATTTCCTACTAATCGTTTCTCAGTTGATCAATCACAGTGACTTGGGCTCCTTCAAAAGTACTCAGCAAGAAATCCGCAATGAACCCGATGAAAGTAATTAGGTGCATAGTTCATCAATCTGTCCATTTGTTGATCAATCACAGTGACTTGGATTCCTTCAAAACGAACATAAAATTAGCAGGATCTCGATAAACTCAATGAAAGATAATTAGTGAATCGTTCATCTATCTGGTCATGTGTGGTGATTAGTGACCGTTAATCGATATTTATTTAGAAATCGTGAGTTGCGGTCTAGTGTGATGTAGGTTTCAGAAAAACATTTTCCTTATCGTGCCAACGTTTCGATCTTTATTGAGCCCTGAAGATGGTCTCAATAAAGATCGAAACGTTGGCACGATAAAGAAAATGTTTTTCTGAAACCTATCACACCAGACCGCATCTCACGATTTCTGAATAATTAGTAATTTAAAAAGTTTTTTCAAATATCGTTTTGTCCCTTTGGTTTGCATATATTTCAAAGCCATTACATATTGGTCGATTTATTATGTTAGCTAGGTTAAGACAATAATATGTATCGTATTAAATGAGATTAAATATATAAAATGTGACTAAAAGCAAAAGCAGATGTCAGTAAATGATGACTAAAAAGTTTTCATTCATTTTAGGCATCCTTTAAAGCCCTTAATATAAATTTTTATAGCAAACAAAAAATAGACATTTTACGGGGTCAGGCAGTTCAAAGTTAACAATTCGTAACTGCACTGTATTTTATCTAAATTGAACATTGTTACAACATTCAATTATACTTTCTGAAAGTCTTGGTTTTGATGAAAAAGTTACTGCCACGAGCTGGATTCGAACTCATGATTTTCCGCTCAATACGCAGCTGCTCTAACCACTATTTTGGCACGATAGCTCAAATGGAGGAGCGGCGTATTGAGCCGAAGGTCGTGGGTTCGAATCCCGCTCGTGACAATAATTTTTTCATTTCATCCAATGCTTTAGATAAAAAGTATAATTAATTGAAAGAATTAAATAGGTCAATTATGAGCTCAAACATATATGGGTTGTTACAACTATTGGAAAACAGCGTATTTCTTCTTTTGATCTGTTTATTATGTAATAAATATATTTAAATATAGGCAAGTAAAAAAAAAATAGGAATTCCAAAAATTACTCAACCCTCTTACTTTATATTTCCCGTTGTGATTTATTCTTGAAGGCTAGGAAAATGCCATTCAGTGTGTGTTTAACTGTTTTAAACTAATATAACAATTCATACGGATCGGTGGTCTTTACAAAGTTTTCACCATTATTGCGATTGGAAAAAAAATGACGGTGAAGGCTAAAATATTTAGAAAACAAAATACTTTTTTGAATTTACCAAAATATTTTTTTCAGAAATTTCTATGGGTGCAAAGAAGAACATCAACTTTGGTTCTTGCTACAAACATTTTTTAATGTCGTTTTGTCAAGATATGATGATGGTATTACATCGTACATTCATGTTTGTCATTATTTTTTCTTTATACTAGAGTGAAATAATTTTTTATTAAAAAATTAAACAGTAGAAGAAACTTACTTTCATATTTAATTTTATGTACGTATTAATTTCATTTGTAATTAATTTTCGTATGGATTTCATGAACTCAATTATTTTTTATTTAAAAATTCTTCAATTTGCAAGAAGAGTGATTGGTTTCTATATTTACTGTTGTATAATTTTTAATTTTACATGTAATTAATTGTCATCTGGTCTTCTACGAGCCCAATTAGTTTATGTTAAAAATAATTAGAAAATATACAGTAATTTTACTTTACATTGTTACATTTGAAACCATAAATTTTCGATATATAAACTGCCTTCATAACATCGCACATGCAAATTAATTAAAATTGAAATTAAAGGAAATACAAAATTTAAAATAAAAACAAATCATTACCATATTATTCGTGATTTATTTTTAAATATAAAATTATTTTGTATTTTTATCTATTTAGCTAATAATTATATTTTATAAAAATTGACAAATACACAAGAATTTTAGTTTGCATACTTTTATTTCATACCATCTCCTAAATATTTTTAATGCTTAAAAGATNTACTCTACCACTTGAGCTATCGTGACTTCGATCCACTCGGACACTAACTTCCTAACTAGCTTTAGTGAAGATATACCTCAATTTAACTTATTAAATTCACTAGTTTCGTGGTCTGCTTGACCAATTAATATTGTTATTAATATTATCAATATCTTCCAATTGATTAAACTTTTCTAAGGTTTTATCTCAACTAAATTAATTGAAAGATATTAATTTGAAGTTAAAAATGTTTATTTGAATTTAAAAAGGGTTAATTTAAAATTAAACAAAGTTTAAGTGAAGTTAAAAAGGGTAAATTTGACTGAAAAAAAAAACCTTGAAAATCGTTCTTCGCATCGTCTTGTAAGTGCAAATAGTGAGTGACGTGTTATCAAATAAGTTCAATAATTTTATTAGATCGTTTCATATCTATCAGCGAACACAATATCGAATTGAGTCAGATTTATTCACCTACATACTCGTATAAAGTCGAAAGAAAGAAAGAACAGTTTCCACTTCATATTCTAATCAGTATATCAAACTCCTATTTGGAAAATACTTCTAGATATCGATTTACAGGATTGAATTTTATATACAGGGGAAGGTCCGGGGTTTGGAAAGAGGGTTAGATCTCAGTATCACTTACTCTATATGCATTTAGTTATTTGTATGCCACCCCTCTGTTCCTAAAGGCATAAGTATAAGATTTTTATCGTATTAATAAAGCATAAGGCAACATTCTACGGGATCGTATTTGAATAAAGTTCGCTTTTTCCCCCTTGCCGTCGATCTGGCTTTTTTTTCTACCTAAAAGCAATACCTCTATTTCAAGAGATGTAATACCGATATCAATAGTATCAAAGATTCTAAAAACAAACAAAAAAATTTGATCAGATAGTTCGTAATGGGTTTCATTTCAAAATTGGATTGTGTACCAAAGGAAGACATTTTGCAATATACTATTTGATGAAATAAATCAAAAGGATTTGATCATAACACTTTTTTATACTTTATCGAGCGGTCTTTTACTCTCTAAAAAGGATAGTAGGACGTTTTTCTCTCAAAAAGGATTTTAGCATTTTCTGATCAGATTATTAGAGATTTTGATTACCTAAATGTCAGTCTTATGGAAAAAAATATATATAATCAACATTACCGATAAATAAATTATTACATAGATTATTTCTTATCAATGTTTTTTTTTTATTAAGCTCAATAATTCAAGGAAACCCTAGTGGTTTAAATAAATAAAAATTATATCAGGTTTTCTTTTAGGGGATCAGGCTTGTGATCAAAAATAACATGAGAAAAACCAAATCCAGTTCTAAAACAGATTGAAAAGCTTTCCCAATGCCATTACTAAATGGTAAGGCAAAAATCACATAAAATGATTAATAAATAATATTAAAACCTGGGTTCGAAGACAGGTGACACCTGACGCTATAAATCAAAGCGAAAACAGAATTCATCAAAATTTCAAGGGTTTCCGGCTCATCCGCTTCTCGGAACTTGGTCCCTTTCGCATCCGAAAAGTCCCTTCTCGAGGAGTAAGTAATAATTCAGTTGCTTAAGACGAAGTTCAAGGACACTTAATGGCAAGACCACATTCGCCGAAAGGTCGAGGGTGGCTGCGGATTAAAATCGCCAAGTAGCTATTAATCCTCAGAGTAGTTCGTCTTTTGATTAATTGTATTTTCACTTTTTCGACTTACGAAATACATCTCTGGTATGAAATGAAGATGACAATAATTATCATTGTTTATTTTAAATTTGATAAAAGAAAAACAATTCATAGATGTTCATGAGTCCGTCAAAATTTTCTAGAAAAAAAATCGAGGAAAAGTAAATAATCACGATATTCACAAAGCCTATTGGTTATAGAAAAAATAACTTTAAAAATTTTGTCTCCTAAAGTAAATGTGTGCCTAAAGAGAGGTAAAGGACTAGCAGCTTATATGGGCGTGTAGAGACTTAATTTTTTGTACATGTTTATTTATTTTTATTTTTTTGAAACAAAAGGAATTTTGATGAAAATAAAAAATGAACGATTAAACGTGCGCATTAAAATCCGGGATAGAAGGATTTTAAAAAAAATTTAAGGGAGACCACACTTAAGCTTAAAAAAAAAAATAATACCTGCCGGGGTGACGGTGGCCACAACGGTTTAAGCCGGGAACTTACCCGATGCTATCCCATGCGACGCTATCCGATGCTACCCAACGCCTTGCCACGTTTTGGTGGGGTGTGCACATCTATCCGACGCAAGCACACGTCGCGTACAGTCCAAAGCGTTTATCACAATAATCACTATCACAATCGCAACGCATCTTTTGTTCTTAATGCACTATTTTGAGCAAAACTTTGTAATAAATTGTTAGTTAAATTTTATGAGAACAACCATCTAATAAATTGTTTGTTAACCTTAATTGTTTTAAATAAAGTTATTCCAAACCATCATAATTAAACAATGTTTATAAAAACTTATGAATTTTTGATCTCGCTTAATTTGGTTTACATTAAAATAACATGTAATTAATATAACGANAGGTTTAGGTCCCGGGTTCGAATCCAGCGTGCCTGATGAACAGATGTACCAATAAGGCAACAAATTGAAATCTCCAGACCTCGGAT